AGCATCCCAGACGCTGCCTTAATTGACTGAGCTACGACATGGTCTACGACTTTGTTCATTTGATGCATCACGTTACTGTGATTTCTGTGTGCGCTGGTGTAGTGGTTACGGTACTCAAATTATACTAGTCAGTAGGAAGAGCAGGGAGATCCCCCCCCCCCCCCCACAGCTGGACAACTTTAATTTTGAAAAAAACACTGTCACTAAGTAGTTTCCTTCTGGCTTACTGACAGGCATTTTGAGTCCTATGGAAGTCCGATCTATGTTGCAAGAACTGTGTCGAGAGGGACTTGATCCGGGATACCCTGGAGTCTGTTAATTGAGAGTGTTCAGAGTGTGAAAATCTTGTGTATAAAATCCTTGAACGATTAATATATATATTAGTCCTTTATTATATTCTCATCGTCAGATATTCATGTTATGTTATTATTATGACTTTCTAGTGCACTGTAAACTTATGTAAACGAACCCAACTAAAATGTATTAAACAGGCATTTATATACAAAGTATTTGAATTTGAATTTAGGCTGCTCAGAGGTAATCCAAAATAGTAATTAGCTCTATTCTTTAAGAGCACATGCTTTGGCAAACTTATTTGTGTCATTCATTTGCAGGTCGATTTCAGACACAAGAACGTCACAGTTATCCTGAGGAGATGAGTGTAATCAAAGGTGACAGAGATACTTACAATTAACGTGTCAACTTTGGTTATTTATCTATATAAATAAAAATGGAAATGTTTGTTCAAAGTCGCTAATCTCCAAAAGTTCTTCACCGATTGCTTTGAAATTTTGACACAACTTTCCATTCGAATACGCGCATGTTTTTATATACCTACTATATAGATGCCACACCTGTGACAGGTAAAAACATGTTTTTTTTAAACAGCTCTATCTGTTGCACGTAAAAGCAACACACGCTATACTAAATATGTTACAATTCCATTTCAATGTTTCCGATTGCATTGATAAATTGAATTTTCATAGATTTCAATTTATTTTCATTTTGATTTAATTATTTTGTGTGAAAATGCATTGGAACTGAGATGTGTTGTTTACCATACTGTTCATTTCGTGAGTATAGTTTATTTTTTATTTTTTCATTTTTTCATTTCGTTTTTTTAACTGTTCTTACTTTTCAGTGATGGGAACATCAGATCATTTGAAGTTCCTATTTTTCTGATGGGAACCTCAGATCATTTAAGAACGCATCAAACGAGGGGACGGGAGTGAGGGATGGAGGGAAGGACGAGGGGATGGGGAGGTAATGGTGGGGAAGACGAGGGGACAGGGGAGTGGGAGATGGTGGGGTGGACAAGGGGACTGGGGAGTGGAGAAGGGTGGGGAGGACAAGGGGACAGAGGGAGTGGGGGATGTTGGGGAAGACGAGGGGATGGGGAGGGGGGGAACGGTGGTGAGGACGAGGGGACGCGGGTGTAGGGGATGATGGGGAGGACGAGGGGAGTGGGGAAGACGAGGGTCAATCTATTGGATATGAGAACTGCTGAAGGTCTATTGGCCCATACTTCCTCTTGTTGCTTCCATATTGGTTCGGGGTCTTAAAGTGGGTAGAATATAGTTGTGCATTAATTGGCTGTTGATTGCCGGTGTGGACTTTTTGATGTGTAGTGCCTCGCTGATGTCGAGGCGCCTGCTATCACTGTACCTATCGATGATTTCTGTGTTGTTTGTTAAGATCACCCCTTGTATGTATGTACTTTACCTGAATAAACATTTGAATTTGAATATTTTGAATTGTGTAACTAGCTTCAAAAGATTGTCACTTGCTTAGCTAAATGAACTATGAGGTTCAGTTCCTGAACCGATTATGTGCCTCTGTAACTCTTTCCACTACCGCCCACAAGATGGGTATGGGGTGCATAATAAAGAAACTGAAATTTAATTTAAATTTCAATATTACACAACAGATCATAAAAAACCTTTAAAAGTGATTGTTGCAATACTGAGATGTTCCCAGCCTCGTACCTTGTATTGGGTTAGTATATTTAGATTATGTTCCGCAGTCCTGAATATTGTTGGCTTTTACTGTTAGGTTTTTCATCAAGCTCCGATAGTTTAGGTCGTCTGGCATTTGTTGTTGTGATTTTTCACAGCCCTAATACTGGTGGCTCGTAACGATGCAAATTTCCATAAGTATACCATCATTCCAGATGTTTCGTTTTCTATGGACGACCAATTTTTCCCATTTATCTTACGATCCAAATATAGTTTAGTTTTTTCCTCTTTGCTCAATAACTGTAACATGCTCGTGTCCGAAGCTAGACACAAATACAACAAAATTATTAAGGATGGTAACAGAGTCCATTTCATGTGGTCTCCATCTTATGTTGGCCTCCGAATGCATGATAGAGCTGATAAGTTAGCCAATGAATCTGCCTTTAGAGGAGCCGTTGAGTGTAACCTTGGATTGTCAATGAGCAATCTGAGAGCAGCAGTACACCGAGAACTTCAACAAGATCTTGTAGATCTGAGGCAAAGTGAAATTGACACCAGTAATTCCATCTATCATCATACTATCATGCAAGAGGAGCCACACATCTATGGATCATCCAATAAAATCAGCAGACTTCTAGATGTTACTACTGCTCGGCTTAGACTCGGTTACAAGTATCTTTGGGAATTCTCATTATCTGCCGATGTAGACCTGACCAAATGTAAACTGTCAACAAAATTATACGCACACCCTCCGTCACTATGTGATGGAGTGCGAAAAGATACGTGAATTTAGAGACAATTCTATAACCAATGTTCCAGCGATGTGTAAATATTTCATTCAAAATGATCTGCTACCAGAAATTTTAGCCAAATATCCCCAGTTTGCTAACTGTAGGTAGTAACTGAGTGATTGTAACCTATCCACCACTGCCCACTGGATGGGGGGCGGTGTGCAGGACAAACATACAAATTGTGACACTAGCTCTCCACATATGTCAGTTGCTTAATTTAGAACCTGTACTTGAGGTCGATCTCGAACCCATTGTTGATGTGACGACTTATATTGAATTTTGTAACTAGCTCATCAAGATTGTAACTTGCATAGCTAAATGAATTGTGGGGTTCAGTCCCTGAGCCCATTATGTGCCTCTGTAACCCTTTCAACTACCGCTCACAAGATGGGTATGGGGTGCATAATAAATGAACTAAACTAAACTGTGCTACTACTCAAAATTATGGTTCTACTACCCAAAATCACCTACATCCTCTAATTTCTCAACACAAATCAGCTATTAGAACAAAAGCAAACTCTGGCATAACTGGCCACAGTGTTCAAGAGAGAACTGGATAAGCACCTCCAAAGGATACCTGATCAACCAGGCTGTGACTCATACGTCAGGCTGCGAGCAGCCGCGTCCAACAGCCTGGTTGATCAGTCCGGCAACCAGGCAACCCGTTCTCGCAAATTTAATAAGTCAATATTGACTTATTAGTTGCGTGCATAGGTGACATACTAAACATAATAGTTTCCCTTGAAAAGCTTCATAGAAAACACCAACCTTACCTAACCTACTTAGTATGTTAAAATAAGCATCTTATAGCTTCGTAATTACAATTGTTACTTAACCTATTATAGGTATAGGTTAGGTAATAATTGTAATTACGAAGCAATAAGATGCTTATCTTAACATACTAAGTAGGTTAGGTAAGGTCGGTGTTTTCTATGAAGCTTTTCAAGGGAAACTATTATGTTAAGTATATGTCACCTATGCACCAGGAGGCCTGGTCGACGACCGGGCCGCGGGGACGCTAAGCCCCGGAAGCACCTCAAGGTAAGGTGGCCTCAGACAGCACTCGGTACCCTTACTTAAATATTTTAATATGTTAGATATTAAGTCACTGCACATCCTCTCAAGTGTACTCTATATAAAACTCTGAACTGTAATGCCAAATCTTACCTTAAATGCTTCCTAGAATGTTGTAACAGGACCCATGGGCACCACATTTGAAACAAATACCTATATTCCAAGAGTGCGACTTAACCAAACTAAAAATGTTCTGCAAATCGACCTTCCCAATCATGTCAAAGGCTGTACCTTTCTCAACCAGTTTAAGAGAGAAAACATAATTGGTAGAAACTTGAACAAAACCTAAAAGTTCACTTTATATTACAAGAATATAAACATGCCTCTAACATGTTTCTAAGATCACCACCAACAACATGCTTTTAAGATCAAACTACTTCCTTGATCATTCTATTTTGGCCTTCATGAAACTCTTGAGACACATGAGCACAGTGGGAAGAGAGGCTGTACGTCTCTCAACCATTTAAGAGAAAAACTAAATACTACCTAATAAACTCCATGTAACCTACCTTACCTCCTAAATGTCAACCCATGTCTTTTTTTCAAACAATAATATTTGTAGACCAACTTGTATAACTACTGATTTGCGCCTTTTTTTGTCAACTCAATTTGTGCTTTGATCTCATAGTATTAAATTCTAGTCTAAGTGTTTTCCCACACCTTGCCCGAATCGCTGTGAATATTAGTGGATTTAGGAGTAATATGTACTAGAGTTTTTAGTTTAGTTCATTTATTATGCACCCCATACCCATCTTGTGGGCGGTAGTGGAAAGGGTTACAGAGGCACATAATGGGCTCAGGGACTGAACCCCACAATTCATTTAGCTAAGCAAGTTACAATCTTGATGAGCTAGTTACAAAATTCAATACAAGTCGTCACATCAACAATGGGTTCGTATGTACTAGCTCTATCTAGAAATCCAACATTATGGTTGTAACTCATCTTGTATGTATGTACTTTTTCCTGAATAAACATTTGATTTGATTTGGTATATTTTTGGAGTCCGTTTGGTCTAGTTTTCTTTCGTTATAAAGATTTACGTATGTATTATTAATACATACGTAATTATATATATATAATACGTAATTAATACATACGTAATTATATTATATATATATATATATATATATATATATATATAAATTTTTTTAGGAAAAGGAACCATTGGGCGGCGTGTTGTTTAAAAAGAGAAGCAAACACAGCCCGTGGCGGGAGTCTCAGCTGACAGCTGCCAGTATTATTGTTTTCAGCTTTGTTGCCTTCTGTGGTGCCTCCCTGGCACTCTTTTCATATCAATCAGGTGAGGTCACTGATCCCCGGGTCTTCTGAAATGCGTAGAGGCAACACTGTAACTGTTGGACGACTTGTTGACTTATCAATAGTTCTGCAGGAGGGAGTGAAGTCCTGACGCTTGGACGCTCATATCACGTATAGGTTATACCTGAATTTACCTGAAGGTCACTCATTAGTGGCCTCGACGAGGACAGGAAGCTGGCTGCGGGTATAAATGATAATTTATAAAATTGCTATCATTTAATACCATAAGTTTTGTTCCATTAAAAACAGAGGGGCGGATCCTGTCATTTCACAAGAATTGATTAGTTTACATACTTTGGCTACTACTATATAAGCATTCTGATTTGGCACGTCCTGAGAATTAGCCTTCCTAACTGCTATAACAAGAAGTCAGTAATTTCAAAGCGATATATGACAGTGCTGGGAAGATGGGACACCACGAGCGTAGCTCTCATCCTGTAACTACACTTGTGTAATTACAGTTGAGTAACAGGAGCCTTCACTGTCAAACTCGGCACACACAATATAGGACAGAAGATGCTTTTCTTAACCTCCCATAGGTTAATAAATCCTTGGACTTACCTACCTGCCAAAGCTATAAATGCCAAAACAGTATTGTATTTCAATTCAAAATTAAAATGGATATAATCTTCAGGAATATTAAGGGGGGGGGGGACATCATTGACAAGTTGCCAGCTTCCTGACCTCATTAAGGTCACAAGTAATGTTACCCCCTCCATATAAATTTGAGGTAAAATATATATTTTTTTATATTGTATAATCTGCCCCTCTCAAGTGGTTTGACACCATTAATTCCCCATTATATCTCAGCCCCTTGTCTTTATATCTCCTATGGCTGCAGAGTTCTACTGACTTAGAAGTGAGAGGAGTAGGTCAAGGTAATTATCTAACATAATTACTGACTGAACAAATGATCAGTATCCTTCCTTACTGATAGACAACTAAAAATAATAAATGCATGTACATGCCTATGTTATATGTATGGACCTAAGCTTTTGATAAGATACCAGATGAAAGACTGGCAAGGAAATTACAAGCACGTGTAATAAATGATAAAATTCTGGAGTTGGTGAAACTAAGGTTAAAACTAAGAAAGCAAAGGGTGATATTAAATGAAAGTGAATCTGATTAAAAAAATGTGGTGAGTGGAGTACTGCAAGGTTCCATCTTAGAACTAGCCCACTTTATCATATAATGACATGACTGTGGGGGAAAAACTGACCTGTGGAATTTATTTATTTACAATTTATTAATTACTATTAATTTATTTCTTACATTAATTTATTTCGATAGCGGACTATGAATTTAAAGTGGACTGTATGATATTAAATTCCCACAAACCATTCCTACACAAGCTGGGGGTTTATTATTTATAGTCAGTCAAAATTAATCAATTGGTAGACATTCACTACAAAGTTAGTACTAATACTACATGGACTAGTAAATAAAATAGGAGAAATACAGCTTAACTGTGTGGTTGGTTATGGCCTGGACAACCAAACATGAACACGGATGATCACAGATTAATACTCCATGTAGGTGATGCTAGTATAATCACATGTTACATGTTGTGCCAGGTAGTCGATTGCTAATTCTTCTTCCCCTTCAATTTCACCTGTCAAAAGGGGCGTTGGGGGGGGGGGGGCTTCAGCAATACGAAACGCTTTGCGTAATAGTGGCTTTAGGCATTGTATGTACTAGCTCTATCTATAAAGCCAACAAACTTTGTAAATCTCTTTATGTATGTACCTTACCTAAATAAAGATTATTATTATTATTATTAATAATCGTAACCAATATATGACAGCTCTATCAGGAGAAATGAATATAAGTAATTATTAATGGATAATTACCCTTTTGGGTGGTTTGCCATGTGTCCTAACCGGAATAACCTAATCTATATAACTGGCCAAAAATACCTGTAGTTAGAATTAACGGGTTATCGGGTTCAGAACACTTCCCTTGTTGTTGACACAGATTGTGCTGATGAGGGAGCTGTTTACATCCCACAACACTGAGTCTAGAGGGAAAAATATTGAGGAGCTTCGAGCGAACTCCTAGCGAAACTTTGTTGTTAAATTTAATGGTGTCTGCCCCTCTCCCACTCACACATCTGGCGTCTTCTCCAGACAAGTTTTATCAAGAAGTGGAAAGAGGGTTCATATTTAATCTATTTTAGTACAGTATTGATAATTAAGTTGGTAAAGGGAAATGTTTTTATGATAACAGTCCAGAGACTGATGTTTTAAGAAGAATTCCCAATATTATTAGCTGGTGAATTTAATAGCAACATGGCAATATCCCTGTTTTCTTCCGAGGAAAATTCCCCTGCAATCTTGTTTTTTTTAAGTTAACCTAGATGTTTTGGGTTAATTTATTAGTATAAAAACAGCAATATTTTCTGCATACAGGTATTGTATTGAAAGTTAGTATATGGTGTTGTTTTTTCCGACAATGACAATATTACAAACCACATCAGATTTGCAGACGATATCTATGGTAAAGTAAGAAGCAAAAATAATATTTAGGCAATATAAAAAGATCTACATGAATTCTTCAAATGGTCAGATGACTGATAAATGCATTTTGATATTAAAAGATGCAAGATCTTGTATGTAGGGTATAATGTTCAATCATATCAACAACACTATCTAGGATGATGAAAAGGACCTAGGATCCATCAGTCATTGAAAGATGCACAAGGACTTCTATAACAAATCATGAACAAAAGTGAAAGTAACATTACATCCCTTTTAATTTTTATGCAAGTTGGTCTATACAGTATCTTTATCCACAAAACCCCAAATCCAAGTTTCAAGTACAGTACAAAGAAAACGTGTATTCAGCCGTTAACAAAATAAGTGCATGCTGCATTATTGCATGGATTGTCTTCATTGGTGTTGTTGACTTAATATAATGTCAATATTAGCAGATAAAGATACTGGTTGATGACCGGGCCGCGGGGTCGCTAAGCCTTGAAATCACCTCAAGGTAACTTCAAGGTAAGATACTGTAGGATATGCTCAATGTATAATTACTGATCAATCAATTATGGAAATGCATACAGCAACAACTGTTTATTTCATTGAAATTCTTTCAACTAGATTTATTTTCTTTTACATCACCTGTTACAAACTCCTCATCTGTAACTGGGGTTATTTTAAACACACTGATCCTTCTCTAGTCCAGAGATCCCTAACTTCAGTGGAAATGCAGTGTAATGTTTAAGGCCAGATAAAATAGAGCATAAGAATATCCCATATTATTAATTACAACTACAGTACCACTATATACACTACTGACGAGGTCTTCCCATGCAACACTAGCCCACACGCTAGCTTTCATCTACGGTAACACCTTCAAGCGCCCCACTAGCCCTCTCGCTAGCATGCTCACACAGTGAAGTTTTCCAGCGTTCCACTAGTCCACTCGCTAGCATCCTCGTTAGTTTGCTCCAGCAGAGGTGTCCCAAGGTAGACCTGTGTACTGCTTCACTCTCTCTGCTGTCTGCCACCAGTCACCAGTACCTCATCACCTCCAAGAACAGCAGACTAGAAGATAGGAAACATTATTAATAAGAGGGTTAACTGTTTTAATTCCGAACCTGGATCATAGATGGCGCCGAGGTTCGTCACATCACCATACTGTACACTGTATTGTAAAAATATGAAGTGCGTGTACTTGGGAACTTTTCAGACAACTATCCATTTTCACATAGGATAGCCCTCGGTATTCATTACACAAATGATTACACAATTCTACGACTATTTGTAGTAGTGTACTGTATTATAAAAAGAATGGAGAATTGATGCATAATAGTTATCATATTATCAACTTATTAACTTTATTATCAACATTTATATCAACACAAATTATTGCACTCCTTGTATTTATTACACCTATTTTCATATCCTGAAATATGGCAATGTGGTTTATATTTTTTGATCGACAATATTCAAATCATATCTAGTTTAACAATACATTTTTCAACAAAATTTCCTGGTTTTACATATATAAAAATCACATATCGATTGTACACTCACACAATTTGTTAATTACTGTACCACTGTTTTGGGAAATTATACAGTATTTATCAATATATTTAATGTATGTAAATTAGTATACAATAACAATGCTCTCTTTGTTCCAGACAATGAAGATGACCAAGTTAAAACAAATATTCTCAGACTGCCAACGCACAGTAGCATCTCACCCTAAACTTGTGAAAACCTTGATCCAGACATATTTAAAGGTACATGTGCAGTACTATATATCATGTCCAACAGTAACATTTGATTCCATACAGTTTTCTTCCAATATTTTATAATCACTGTACAGTACTTACTACTTATTTTCCTTCCCAACTGAGTGATTATCATGTCTTTCAAACTGCAGACATTTTATCATCATCACAAGGTAAAAGATAAACTAAATGGTGAATCAACAGAGGAATTTGACAGATGAAGTGACTGATGCCATAGCAAATTGGGACTGCAGGTAATTGCATGTATAGTATTGAGATGGATCTTGAACTTCTGAATAGATAGAAATGTTGTAACTGTAACTTCTGTTTGTTGTTGACACGAGTCACAATTCTGTTCATTATGTTTTGGAACATTTTTCCTCCATCTTTTCGGTAGCTCATGAGACTAAAGGAAGTCCTGAAACACATAATTGGTAGAAACGTGAACAGAAGATAAAAGTTCACTTTATATTACAAGAATGTAAACATGCCTCTAACATGTTTCTAATATCACCACCACCAACATGTTTCTAAGATCAAACTACTTCCTTAACCATTGTATTTAGGCCTTCATGAAACTCTTGACACATGAGTACAGTGGGAAGAACTTATCAGGAGATTAACCAAAGTATCGGGACTGATCAGAAATCACTCAAAATGGTGAGCGCTCTGCTTGCATGTATTTTCTTGTAGATTTATAAATTTTCTGATGCAAGTAATGATGTTCTTTTTACAGCTATAGTGATCAATGATTTATATATTTATGACCTTTCTGGGTAATAATTATTAATTAATGATATTATTATTATTATAATAATTATCGTAATTACTAATTATTCATCCTTCTGCTGGGTCATGAAGGAAGCCGGCCTTGGGTGAAAGGGGGCTGTGACGATCTCTGTCTGGAATCCATAGTTGAGTTAGAGACAACAGTTATCAGAGTTATATGTTCATCAGTTGGCAAATGACAGACAGTTATCAGACAACTTTATCAGTCATCTATATTCAGATTGTCATCAGTCAGTGGACAATCTCAATCATTCAGTTATTCTTTTGTAATCAATAGGCTTTTGATGAACATGTGGTGTAATTAAATATTTTTTGAAAATGTTGATACTCTGCTATATACGATACTTGATGTCAAGTGTACAGTCAATAAAGAAGCTGATCTTGGATAATTTTGTAGACTCTCCGTTACTAAAACTGTGAGGAAAGTCATCTTGTACATAATACAATTATTAAATTACTTTACGATTAAAAAGATCACTGTTGAGTTTATTAATTTTTTACAGAGTGATTTCAACAAGTTTGTTTCGGAATTTATAAGTCTCCTGCAGCAATCACTTATTTATGGAGACAAACAACCTGCAGTTGAAAGAACTCTAAACTTTGTGGCAAAGTTTGCAACTACTAGAAAGGAGGAAAAGGAGACCAGTGATGAACAAGAGGATAAAGAACAGGAACAAGATGAAGAGGAAGAAGAAGCAGACCCATTCCTTGTGAATTTGATTCAGTATCTCCTAAAGGTGAGTGATGTACTGTAATGGCACATATTCTGGTACTGTATTCTTATTTATTATTTTTGTATTTATTTGTGCTATACAGTATAGTACTGTATAGTTCACATAACCTAATATAATAAAGCTGTGAGGTACGGCTGTTTGTCTGCTGGAGTGGAATGGTGCTATTTATCTGACATTACTTTATATAATGTGAATAATATAACAAATGGACAAATTATACAGTGTATTTTTGTTATACAATATGTGTAACTGTCACTACAGGTGGCCTGCAGTTTTTGTGGTACTATAATGGAGTACAGTACAGGATTGTGGGTTCGGTGGCATATCAGAAAGCACTTGTATCAAAGTGAGTGGGGTGAAATTTGCTCTGTGTTAGTTTCAAGTGATTAATGCAAATAATTGAGGCTGATCCTAATAATCTAACTTATTCTGGACAATGTCGGGCTTCCGCACAATAAATTTGTTTGTATTTTTGTCACAATTTGGGTTAAGTTTATGTATGAAACCTAATTATTTCAATATTCTGCACTTCTGAGTTTGATATACTTGTATGCAGTATTTTGTCTGTAGAGTTTTTGCAGGCATGTAACCCCTGTACAAATCGATGGCAGTGTACAGGTAGAGTAAGGACTTAAAAACATGGGTCTTTGAGGTACAAAAATCAATAAGTTAATAAACAGCAAGATTGTAGCAATGGTTCTAGGATGGTTTAGGCATGTTGAATAAATGAATGATGATAGCCTAATAAAGAGTGAATTGAAGTGAATTTGAGGGTAGGAGGAAGGGAGGAAGGCCAAGGTGGTGGTGGATGGACGCAGCAAGTGTGTGTGAGGAAATGGAACACAAGAGTGAGCAGTACAAGAGATAGGTGAGACACAGCTGGGTGGAAGAGGTTTATAAGAAGTGAATGTAATTGTATATACTGTGCTGTACTGTATACAGTACAGTATTTTTATGAGAGGCCACTCCAGACCGACAACCAGAGTGCAACTCCATAGTCTCCTGAGACTGATGGATGCCTACTACTACTACTGTATACTGAATGATAGTTCATGAGGAAAATTGTACACTGGGTCTTAGAAAGCAGCGATGAGATGCTAAACCAGGTACCATTGTACCATATTCATTGAGAAGAATATAAATAGATGAGTGATATTTCAGTGTTTTTATTATCTATAACATTTTTCACTATTATTTGCCTCCCCACCACTTGAAAGATGGAAATCACTGGGAAGGGGAAGACACTTAAGCAATACAGTACTTTACAAATGAATAAGTGCATTTACTCCAAAATTTTAAACACATGTTCTGAATCTTGTTAATATTCATAAGACAGACATACCTTGTTTAGAACTAACTCTTGCAGTACTAATTCATTATGCTGTTGTTTAGCAGCCATTGTCTGTTATTGGAATTTAAAAAAAAATAAAATTATTAAAATCCATTTCAATACTGTATTGTGCAGTTGTCATTGATGTTTTAATTTTGTTGTTTCTAGTCATTCTAATGGTACATTTGCTAGATTTTTGTCTGCAGTTGTCCTATGGATTGTGTGTTAGATTTTTCAATTATATAAAAATGACATATCAGACAGAAATGAAGCTTTCAGCTTGTTAATATTGTAATTCAGTTTATTTGCCAGAGTAAATACTGTATATATTGTTTCTTCATGGAGGCATCTTGGATGTACAGTAGCAGGATTTACAGTATGCGTCATCGAAGCCATTATGCACGTACAATACTGTATTGTAGGAGCATTGTGATTGCAACTGTGTAGTTGCAAAGTCACAGACAGCCGCAGTCAGTCACTGTCAGGCCAAGCTGTGACTGACTGTGTTTCATTATATTCAATGCTGTTTTAACTATTAATAGTAACCATGTTTGTTTTAAAGACTAAATATTAGGCATAAATTTGAAAACATGTTCAAGAGAAAGCATGCTCTGGAATCTTTAATCTTCTTTTACAAGCTTACAATATTGTGAGTGATTTGCTACCAACTTTTAACCCTGATAGCAAGTACACTGTGTACCTTTAAAAAATGTTTGTGCCTTACACTATATATACAAAGATAGAGTACTCTAATATCTAACTTTTATGTAAATCTTTTTACATGCCTTTTTACAGAACCATGAAGCTAATAGCCAGGCAGTGCGTTATCGTGTTTGTCAGCTGATAAACAAGATACTTAATTATATGGGTGAAGAAGCTGTCATTGATGATGAATTATATAACAATATCTATGATACCATGCTACACCGTCTACAAGACAAAGTGCCCTTAGTAAGAGTACAAGCTGTATTAGCTCTGGGGCGTCTACAAGACCCGCGGAACAAAGAGTGCCCGGTTATAAAAGGTAAGCACTGAAATTGTATCTTGACGGTATATATAACAATAGAATGAAATCTATACTACATAGTTTTAAATAACCTTCAAAATATTGATGATAAGTAGGTTGCATAATAGAAAACAATCATTTGCAGCAAGGATCGACACAAGTCTCCTGGGTTGTTCAAGGTACATATGGAGGTTAAAGTCCGTATTCTAGAGGAAGGTTGGAGTTCAGTGTGGTATAAATCAATGGAGTTTTGCAATTTTAATCAAAGATATGCAGGTAATGCAGTTTTGGCAGTAAATGTTGACAATATATCTAGCACAGGTCACCCCTCAATGAATACAAATTTGTTCAGCATGCTAGTGTGCACAGTTAAGTAAAATCAACATCTTATTTACCTAACAAGATGAGAATTTTTCCTGCGAATGAATTAATGGCAGGAAGTTGAGAGTAGCACTCGTGTGTACTGTTGTTTGATCAACCCACCCTCCTGAAATGATAGTAACTATTTGGAGAAAGTGCCAATATGTAGTGATGGTCCACCAGTAAACCCCTTTGTTTAAAAAAAAAAGTTAGGAAAAATATTGCTGAAACAGGCTTAAACATTCCTAGGCCTGGTATGGCACATATATTTACTATGTTAGGCCTAGGAGTGCAAGGAGAGGTTAGGTAAGATTAAATTAGGTCTCATATGTTTGTTGTAGTTTAAAGTTTCTGGCTTGTACAAATTCATTAATACAAAAGTGTAAATTATGAAGTTCTCCACCAGCTGCTTCCATCAATGTACCATAAAATAAAAACAAATCTATGAGTAAATCTTTGGGGCAGGACGTCGAATCAAACTCATTTTCTGGGTCATCTCGAGAGTCATTTGCATGTAAAATTGGATTTGGGCACCATTGGGGCCTCCAAATTCCCTGTAAGTTTATGTGGACTTCAGATTACTTTTAGTTCATCATGGCCTAGTGTCTAGTGCATACATCTGGTGTGACTCAGGATGCGAGTTCAATTCCACACACTGCTCCAAACATTTTCTCATATTAATCACATGATTGTGATTTCTTTGTGTATTATTATTATTCACATTTATTTTCCCCTTGATTTTACTTCAATTCCTATTTAATTAATCCTCCTCCTCCTGTCATGTATGGAACGGACCAGCAATTGGTGCCGAGATTCGAGTGATGTCAAGGAGTTGGCAAAATGTATACATTGGCAAACAATTACTTCCTTAATATCACTGCTTCGTTGATGAATGAAGCTAACTAATCTTCTCATGTTCTTGTTATTTTTTTTTTTCAGCTTACCGGTATCATATGTGTATGGACCCTAACCCTGATGTTCGTCGTGCTGTGTTAACAAACATAGCAATCACTTTTCAAACTCTGCCAGATATTTTGGAACGTACTCGTGATGTTAGAGATCTTGTGCGCCGTCAGGTAGGCATTGCACTGTTGAGGGAATGTCATTACTTTCAAGCCCCATGCAGTTGAGGCTGAAACTCAATCAACAACAATGATCCATTTTTTTTTATTTATGTAGATAAAATAATGGATCAACACAGTTTTAAAATTATTACCAGGAAATGATACCTATAGTAATATGAAAGATAATATTTTCTCTTAAGACTTCTACTTTGAAACATTTACCTTTAAAACCTAGAGACAAACTATTTGGACAGGTTTCTATTTTGTCCTTTGAAATCTATATTGAATTTTTTAATTAATTATTATTGTGATGTATTTTGAGTGCTATAGTATTTGCCTCTGTTTTCTCGAATATCTTGGATAGTTTCTCTTGTATTCCTATACATGTATTTGGTATATTCGCTCTCACTTGTATAACTTTTCCAATCCTATTCCTGGACTCCATGAACTGTATATTTGACTCTCAGTTGTCTTGCTTATATATACTTTCATGTTATCCAGTTCCAAAATACAGAATCCAAGAGCTAGCTGTCTGTCCCATCAAATTGGCATTTCATTCATGTTAATTAAGTAAATTAAACTTTTCTTTATCCATAAGTATTTTGTTGTTATTATAACCCAAAAATGGTCTCATTGTGTTAGCTGGCTTATTATGCTTTTTGCTGCTTGGTTTGACCTACTTGATGGCAGTTACATTAAAATTACATCACTGGGTTGTGTGTCGGTGATGGATTGCTGAAATTTGATAAAATTGGGAGACTGACCACCGATAGTTTAGGATCTTGGCTTCAAATGGCAAGATAAGTAGAATGGATAGTGGTAAATCATATAGAGTTATAGTTGAGGCACAATATATTGTAAAACATAGTATCTTGCAGGAACTTCCCAGTAACAGGAAGTTGTTGGGGTCATCTCGTTTAAGCTTATACTACCTGTTGGAGATTTCGAGGATCACTGTCTCTGTAGCCTGGTCTCTGACCCGGCCTCCTGCTTTCGGGTCTGATCAATCAGGCTGTAACACTTAGTGGGCTAGCTAGAGGCTTAGGGTCTGCGCAATAATATCCCTGCCAAAAAAAAAAAAAAAACAAGTGTTTGACACAGCTGCTCCTAGCCAGGTGTACGAGTTAGTCTGCTTGATCAGATATCCTTTGAAGGTGCTTGTTGAGTTCTCTTTTGAACACTGCAAGAGGGCTGGTTTTGCAGATGGAATTTAATGCATAATTGAAGGAATTTAATGCATAATTGTTTTAATTTTGTATGCTTCCAAAAATTCATTGTATTATCAGTTCTTATATTTCAATATCAGTATTGAATTGACCTTATGTCAAGCATTCATTGTTTAGTGAAGTATGATTCTAAATACTCCAGCCAGTATTGTAGCTCCATGATATAAATTAACTGATTGCGAGGCACCGTCTCAAAGACCTTCTGGCAGTCTAGGGATGTGTAGTCTGCCAACCTTTCTTTTACTGCCTAGTCTTCATCCTGTCGTAAAATTATGTTGGTTCACGAGGTAAGATTTGTCTCGTCTGAACCCATGTTGGTGATGGTTTGTGCTGTCCAAACATTGCTCATCATTTTTACCATGTTTTGTGAAAAAAATTTACCTTCCTCACCTTCATGCAGTGGAGAGGTATTTGCCTTTAAAAGTTACAAGATTTTGTAGGAAGAGGGAGGTGATGATATTCAAGAGGATGATTGACAGACTGGATATTGTTTTAACCTATGACCCCATTTCAATTCCTGCTGGGGGGTGACGGTGCTGTTTTAGATTTGCCTGAGTTTCAAATTTTGCTAATTTATAGAGTACAGTATTACCATTTGTTATGGTTATAACCATAAGTCATCACTGGTGTTGTGCAGAGTAACTATTAAAGTATGATATATCTTTACAGGCATACTCGGTACTCTCTCAGAAAGTTCACCTGAGATCCTTAACAATTGCACAACGAGTGAGGCTCATCTCTGAGGGCCTGAAGGACCGCAGTGACATGGTACGGTCCTGTGTAGAAAAAAATCTGATACAGGCATGGTTGCGTATGGTGGATGGTAATGTGCTGGACCTCCTAACGTGTCTTGATGTTGAGGCCTCTGTTACTGAAGCAGAATTGACCCTTAAGACCATTTTTCAGGATGTTCCATATGTTGATCTAATTGACAATTTTGGACTTGCTAAAGAAGAACGTATTGTAAGTCCAAGTGATCTTCGTCCTGAGTCTGCACTGTATTGGCGATGCCTAGCTCAGTATCTAAGGTAAGTTTACTGGCCTTTTATATTGCCAATATTTTCTAGTTTACCAGTCAGCATATTGTATACTATTGTAGAATTATTTTCAAATGTTCTGGAATTTTAAGACTAAACTTGAATTATAACATTTTCTAGGGATGAGGGAGCAGAAGAGGCATTAGAGACGGTACTTCCTGAGCTCACACATTTCTGCTCATATGTAAAAGACTATGTGATGACAGAAGTGATGGATACTGGCGATGAACAGGAGATAGCTGTTCACTGCATGGAGAGAGAATTTGCTACCAATCAGCTTGTTGAAATGACTATGCTCTATGATCTTGCTGATGAGGTAATATTGAAAACATCAAAATGTGTATTGTGCTTAATTAATAGTAAATGATAATGTAATAGGTACATGAAATACTGGTGAAGGTGCAGTGATGTCTTGTGTAGCATTTGTTTTTCCATCACCACAAGGTTGGACGCCGTTCTTTGGATCAGCTGGTACGAACACTTCTGGTATCTGACAAAGTAGGAGAGTCCTTAGTGAAGGGATTAGTGAAAGTCTTTGGAAAGCTTCATCCACCCACTACTAGAATCAACCAGCTAGCTGAAATTATATCCGAGGTGCGAGAACCTGTGTGCAAGTCAGTTGAGCGACCACTGACTGATGAGGAAAAACGGAAAAGGAAGCTACAGGTAGGGATTATTGGTTAAATTGTCCAATCCTGTAAGTGATACTGTGGTATGGTTCTGGGGTACTCTCTCTTATGTTTTGCAGGCATACCACTAAGACCTGGTTGTAACACTGCTTGCTTGTCTTACTAAGAATCTGTCTATAGACACTTGTTTTTCCCCTATGTTTTAACACTTATCTGTAGTGAGACATCACATTGTCTCACTTTGAATGATCTCTTGTTCTTCCTCCATCCTCATCCTCACAAGTATTTTCTTACGTTGAACTTTACCACTGACTTTCTTGGAACCCATATCGTGATATACAATAAGAACTTTTATGTTCAGAAACCAAAAAGCACAAAAACAATGAAATTCTTCACAAAGAATTCAAGCGCAGTCGTCACTTGGCGGGAGACACTGGTAAACTGAAGCGTGCCACGTGCTCTGTCGGCCCATGCGTGTACTGCAATAACAAACTCAAGCACCAAGGCAAACCTTGAATACAGAGTCGAATTTTTCGAAGAAATTGAGTTCGAGAACAGAAAAATTAAAAAGAGGGGCATTCGAAAACTGAGGTTCCACTGTATCAAAGCATATCTCAGCGGCAACTCCTGCCCCACACCTGGCGATGACTTGATGAACTCTCGTGGATCGTTAGATTTGCCCACTCCATCACGGCTAATTCCAACGTATCTAAAAATGGATTTACAATAAGAAGTAAGCAAAAAGGAACAACGGTAATGCTATACAATGAAAGTTCATCCATACCAGCGTTTCAGAACCAATCATACTGTAGTTGGAAGTATTAAGTTAGAAGCCTGGTAAAGTCTGGTAATAGAATTATTTATTAGATGTATACTGTCCATACTGTCTGAGTTTGGATAGCTAAAGAAGGCAGAATATTTTATCATTTTTACTTACATATAACAAACTCCAACCTTAGCTGTGATTTAACATTCCTTAAAATAATTTGCCAGTAAATTTTCTCCTTTGCCAGTATGTTACTTGATGCATAGGTCTTCAACCCTAGGCTGCCCGTGTGAAGGTGAAGATCAATCAACTGCGGGAGGAAGTAGAAGAATGTGTGCGGAGCTTGGACTTGTTAAGAGCTCAGATGTTGAAAGATGAACTTCAAGTACTTGAAGCAGATGCTTCTCTGGTTGATATGGATACCACAACTTCTGAAGAAGTATGTTAATGTAAACTTTGTGAATGTGCTTAATAAATTTGTTTGTAAGCTATATTATTTTGTTATGTAGCCTCATAATAAGTACAGATGGCAGAATTTTCTTTTTATGCACAGGGCACTAGGGTTTTCAGTCCAATAAATTTTTGTGGTTTGTTGCAGATTCAAGAAGAACGCAAGGATCCTGCCACCCTTAGTAAATGCTTGATGATTGTTTGTCACATGATTGAAAATCCTGATGTAACTGTGATGACACCTACTCTTCACTCTCTCCATGAAAATCTTATTCTGCTTTGCTTACGGTCAGAGGATCCAGCTGTGAGAAACCAGGGTGTGAAGGCACTTGGCCTTCTTTGTCTTTTGTCAAAAGATCTTGCACATCAACATGTAATTTTATTCATGCAGGTAAGTTTGTGTTTATATACAAGTAACTGGTAGGAATACATTTATGGTTTTTCATGTTGCTTGAGAATACTGTTCCTTGTGATATTAATTTAAAACAAAAAGCTACTGTTTGAGCCACAAAACTGGATGGCTGTCCTATTGAGATTAATCATCGTAGCTCAGTTATAATTATTTTATCTGAATTATGAATCATGTATTTACCTTAAATTGACTTGAGATAACATAAAACCTTTGATTTATGTATGTACAGTATAATGGCAAAAAATGTGTATCTGAACACCATGCTTGTATTAGAAATTGAAAGCCGAACATCAGTTTTTATCTTTCAGATTTCTCAAATTGATGTAGAAGTGATTCAGCTGACTGCTTTAAAGTGTGTCATTGACATACTCCATCTGTATGGACTAGAAGAGTTCACTGATGCAGCAGAAGATATAGTGGATGCTGCAGTAGGGAAGTCACCAAGACCAAAAGATAAGGAGGAGGAAGAATATGAAGGAGAAGGAGGTGCAATCATATCTGCTCTGTGTAAGGTATGTGTGCTGTTATCCTGCTCATAGTTTAAAATTAATTTATTCATCATCATCCCAGTTCCCCTTTGAATAAAGATAGAAGAGTAATATAGAAAAAAATTCTATTAAAGTTGTTCAAAGTGACATGTTCAATCACATTTGATTTCCACACTGGGAAAGAGGATTGAAAATGAGTACTAACATTGCAAGTTAGACAAAAATTGCAGGCAATGAGTCACAATAATGTGGCTAAAGTATGTTGACCAGACCACACACTAGAAGGTGAAGGGACGACGACGTTTCGGTCCGTCCTGGACCATTCTCAACTCGATTGTGAAATTGAAAGCCGAACAATCGACTTGAGAATGACAAAAATTGTCAACCATTTACTATCTCTATCCCATCCATAAGAGGCTTCTGGTTCTCATATCGTGTTCTATTACTAAGGTTCTCGGGCAGTGTTCATATTCAGTCCACACACACACACACACACACAATAGTATACTGTCAGTTTCTATGGCCCTTCCTCTCCTTCCCTTAAATTCACCACAATGACATCCATTCATTCAGCATGATTGTACAATGTTTGTGCCAACACCTCAATTTTATGATTCATTGATTATTGCATTGTTTCTTTCCATTATATTTGTCTATTTATCTATCCTTCTTATGTGACAAAGGATCATCAGATTGTTAATTATGGTAATATAACATAATAATGCTGCATCAGCAGTTCACATTGGAACCTAAAGATTGTAGGTTGGTACAACTACTACTCCTTTTAGCCCCTCAAACTTTGTCCCCTTCCTACTCCCTCCCATATCAGGAGTTATGAATGGTATTTCAACGTATTGTTTTGTAGTTCTATCTCCTTTGTTATATTTCCATTATTATGGGGAATCTTCCCACCATTTGCTGTAGTGTTGGCTTTCATAAAGCAAAGGTCCACTTGAGTAATACCTTGATGAGCCATGACCAGTAAAGGCTCTACAGTGTTCACAAGTAAATATTTCAGGTAATTTGTCTTATTAGACGAATTACTAGTAAACATGTAATGTTTATTATGTCAGTGAATTTATTATTGAATTTAAAAAGTCAAGATACAAATGTTGACATATATATAAATCATGATACAGTATTCATATATTTTTTAAGAGGACAACAATATTATTTCAGTTAAGCAGAGAAGCTTTGGCAATGCTTTATCGATAGAAACTTTTCACGGCATATAAAAATACTCTTCCAATTGTGCTTAAAGTTTATGCCAATTGCAGTTAAAAATCCCTTTCAATTAACTTTGTTACATATTTTCTCAGTCTGTAAATTCCATGTACACATTAAAATCTCTCTCGTGTATGTTCTCTCCTAGTTGTCTAACTGCAGATACAGTAAGATGCAATTTTCCCCACAGAATCCACTTTGTTCTTCACTCACCTATTTTTCAGTATGGTAATCTCCTGTACTCTTGCAGTCACTATCCTACCATGCATTGTACTCACTAAACTTGGTAAACTAATGCCTCTATTATTTTTTACATTTACTGTATTCTTTATTTTTATGCATTTGTATATGATACTGCTGTGATAAGGTGGATTTTCAAACCCAAACTTATTTCTGAATATGGATTGACTCCTGTATGCAAATGCTTGTAGTGTATTTGTTGTTCATAATCTGATTATATCTGTGTTGGATGTTAATGGGATCTCCTTGTCCTGCTGGTTCAAGATATCATAATCATTGTGTTCTGTCTCATCTGAAGGAGTGACAGCTGATGAGATCAGATTGTTACCTGGGAATGTAGTGGAGAAATTAGAGTGAAAGGAGGTGTAGGGAGGATGAGTGTAGTGCCTTGGAAGAAGAGAACAGTTGGTCTCCTCATATTCCTCACCCTCTTCCCCACCCTCCCTATTCTACAAGACACCTGGCAGAGCCAGAGACCATAGTGAGGCCTATGAGCATGTTTTGGTAGGAAAGAGAGATCAGGTGTGTTAGCCAACGAGGGACTGGCTGGGCTAGGCTTATGTTCTAATAGGCTGAGGGCTAGAAGTTAATCTGAGGGCACAATGCTGGCTGGCGCCATCGATCTTCATTCAAGCTGGCGACGATGAGGGTGCCAGTTGTGTCTGTAATTAGCTGACAGAATCAACTACTTTTCTCGAGCCCAGCATACTTAAGCTGCCCAGGATTTCCTCAGTCAAGATCAGCTGAATCACCAGCATAGTATTTGAAGTGATTTGGACAAGAAATTAGCAAAAATGGGGCAAGAGATGCTCGTTCCACCATTTGTAGCGACAGTGTCACACGTGGTTGGGTGACGAGACAGTGTTGTGAAGTCACTAGAATGGAGTAAAGAGGTGTGGGCAACAGGCACTTGCTCTATTGTTTTGCAGAGACAGTGTGGACTTCTGTGGACAAGAGAAGCTTGGTCCACTGGTGTGAGATAAAGAGGGGGGTGAGAGAATTTTAAGCACAGAGAATAGGGCGAGTGTTCTATGTCTGGAACTCTGCACAACTGGTTGGAGTTTGAGCTGCCACACATCAAGTAATGTGAGTCTTCCCACACTGTGCAGCCAAGGAACTATGCGAGACTTTATTACTACATACCGTGGCACCCTCGTCTTTTGCCACAAGTGGGATGGCTTGTGTGTTGAGAATGTGCTTGTGCAAGGAAAATAATTGAGATTAATGATCCTAATAGTATTCCATTCCTGAGGACCAGATTTGCCTCTTGTTTTCCCATTATTAATTATAGTGACAGTTAAGGCAGCATTTGCAAGAGTTGTCACAGGGATCTTGTTGGATCTCTCTCATACCAGCTTCGTTTTAAAGTTTCCTGCTAAGTGGTTGCTTAGACCTTGCCGTGAAACTTTTGTTTTCTAAATAAAGATTTCCCATTGTTGTATTAAGTTAATAAACATCAAATAGAAATGAGTCTTTCTATTAGACCTCTCTCTAAATCACAGTTCTTAATGATCTACTTTGCTAGCACACATTTGATGAAAACCTCTACAATTCTACCTGCCCTATAAAGCCTCCTCTCTACCACTATCTTTGGGACAAATATCAGAGAGGAGGCTATCATCAGTTAAGCTTCTAACTCAACAATTTGAGACCTAGAATCACTGGCTGCTTCTCAAGGCATATTTATCTTCCTAAATAACCTCTGCTAGCTATATGCCTTATGTAAATTAAGTGACATTATGCATGAGGTGGTGGTCTAAAAAAGTAGGAGAATATCACAACCACAATCCAGTGCTTTCTGACAACCTTCCACATCCACTTCATTCTTTTTTCTCCACTACAGATTTTTCTGCATGTAATATATCAGTTCTTGCTGTTTTTCCACATTCAAGTTTCACTTATGTACTCTTCTCCCATGGACATATTCGGCAACATTTGATCTTGCACTCATCTCACACCATCAAATTCAATGATTGTCCATTGTTTTCTACTAATTAAAACATCTTTTATTTAGATGTCTCTTAAAACTGAATTTTATCTACCTGTCTCCTCATTTGCTGTTATTTTCTCTTATGTATTCTTTGTATATATATTAAATGTTTTCTTCTCTCAGATGATGGACAATGACAGTGTTGATGTGCGAACCCTTGCAGCAGAGGGGGTCTGCAAACTGTTACTATCTTGTCGTATTACCTCTTCTAAATTGCTGTCGCATCTCATCCTTATGTGGTACAATCCAGCTACAGGTAAGGGTGACAAAGGAACTCCTTTGTACTGTTTTGCAGGTTTTATTTCTAGATCTATTTAGTTTGAATATATTCTTTAGATTGCATGCCAAAAATCTAAATTGCAATGATACTCTTTAGTAACATTTTGTACGAGTAGTGTATTCTATTTCTCTGAGGAATATCTTTACCCTTTGCTGCCATTAGCAGTTATGTTGCCTTACTGCAATATGCAAGTTGTGCTAAATGCATAAAAAAATAAAGCTTTCAGGCTCCTGAAACTCTCATCCAGAGATTGGACCTTCAGAACATAAGTTTGGGGTTAGGTAGCCACAGCTGTTTGATGATAGATTGAAGTGTCACGTGATGTGATAGATAAATTGGCCTGGAATAATAGTCCCTGTTCAGTACTAGGTCACCATTGAGTTCTGTAATGATTATGGGTAAATATGGAAAGAACAGTGTGCATTTTCATGGCAAAAGAAATTAAAAGAAAAATATATATAAATCTTCTGGTTCTGAGAGTTGTAGACGGTAGGCTGGTGTGGGGAGGTCAGCATGTATTTCGATGCCAGACACAGTTTGCCGACACCTACAGAGGAGAGGACTCGCATATTTACCTTGGATGTTTTTATGTTATTTGCTTCATATTAATTGAGACAATTTAGTATTAAATTAACTATTTATGTACATTTACTTGAAAAAACAGTGATTAAGTATTGTATATAAGCTTGCAATGCATTTTGTACACCTGTTACACACAAACCTGTTCCTGGCACAGCCTTAAAAGAAGTGCCAAGCAACTCACTCATTATCTACCATTCTGTCTGGGTTCCTGCTAATATGTAGTCCAGGCATGAATTCACTGGCAGTAAAGTCATGTAAAGATAACCTCAGGATCTTAATACTGTACACACATGGTAACTTCATTTACAGAGTAAGTAATTATAAAAATATCACATCCATATAATCTATTCTCAATGTATTAATATCACTTATAAAAATGGGCAATAATTATGAAGTCACATGACAATATTTGCAGCAGTCTAGGAAATCAGTTCATGAAGATTATAGCACTTTGAGGGTTAAATGGAACTTGTTGAATACTGTATAATTGATATTCTGGTGCCCAATGGAAAACTTTGTTGATATTTGAGTATATATATTATATACACACACATGGAAGATACTGGAGGGCCAGGTACCAAATCTATACAGTAAAATAATAACATACTGAAGTGAACGATATGGAAGAAAATGCAGAATAGAACCAGTGAAAAGCAGGGGCGTCATAGGCACAATCAGAGAACACTGTATAAACATCAGAGGTCCAAGGTTGTTTAACATCCTCCCAGCGAGCTTAAGAAATATTGCTGGAACAACCGTGGACATCTTCAAGAGAAAACTAGATAATTTTCTCCAAGGAGTGCTGGATCAACCGGGCTGTGGTGGCTATGTGGACCTGTGGGCCGCTGCAAAGCCTAGTGGACCAAACTCTCACAAGTCAAGCCTGGCCTTGGGCCGGGCTTGGTGAGTAGAAGAACTTCCAGAACCCCATCAAGCAAATATCAAGCATACTGAGATTATTTGAACATGTTGAATAATTGGGAAATGTTAAATGGAGTGAAGTTGGTGTTCGAGGGATTTGAAGGCAGGAGAGGAAAACCATAAAGAAGCTGGTTGTGCTCTGCGACTACATTTGTGAGGAAGTGGGGAGCAAGTGATAATACCATTGGATATGGTAAGGGTCAAGGTTGGGCAGAAGAAGCGTGATAGGTTATTTAATGAATTGTGTAAATTCAGTACATAATCATTAACGAGGAGCACAGTACAGATCTATGAAGTGGTATGGGGTACTGCTGTTGGTGACTGCTAATGTGTGATGTACTGGTCTATCATTGAGTGATATAATGAATAAACAAGTGATTTTTTACTTGTTATTGTCTATAGGCTTCTTTTACTGTCTTTGTTTCCCCACATGGGGCTATGTACTGTATGTATGGGAGGCAAATAATGTAAGGTGTGTGTCAGTGTTGGAGTGCTGTATATGAAATAGAGTAAGGATAACAATTGGATGCAAATTGGCATTCAATTTTTTGTTTTTTCTTTTTGCAGAGGACGACGATCTGTTGCGGCACATGCTTGGGGTCTTCTTTCCCTTATATGCCTCATATGGAGGGAGTAACCAGGAGAGTTTGTGTGAAGCTGTGCTACCTACTCTTCAGACACTTTTCAAAGCCCCTGCACGCTCACCACTGAGAGATGTTGATATTGATGACATGGCAAACTTCTTGGTGTCCATTACCAGCCCATCTATTGTTATGGAAAATACAACTGATGTAAGTGTATTGAGTAAATGATCACTGAGTTAACCCTTATGTAATATGATGCTCTACACCACCATTTGTCACTTTTCAACTTGGTATAATGTATCCAGACTGAATTATGTTTATATGTAAAAAATTAATTCTGCCAGTCCTTTAGGCAGTGGTTATACATTACCTGGTATCAGCAGACCTTTAATTATACTTTATATATGGACTGTTTACATTGGTTATGTGAGGGTCTAGTGGTGCTATGCTCTGGCATTATTACACATTCAAATTGACATGTTGACTACCTACTTACCTGTTGAAGATTCTGGGGATCAATGTATCTTCAGCCTGGATGCTGGTCTGATCCACCAGGCAGGTTGATGTGGCTCCTCGCAGCCTGACATACTGATCACAACCTGTTTGATCAGGAATCCTTTGAAGGGGCATGTCAAGTTCTCTTTTGAACACTGCAAAAAGTTGGCCAGTTATGCCCTTCATGTGTAGGGAAGTGTGTTGAAAAGTCTTGGGCCTTTGATGTTGATCAAGTTCTCTCTCAAAGTGCCTATCGTACCTATACTCTTCAGAGGGGCTATTTTTCACGTTCTGCCATACCTTCTGGTCTCATGTGGTCTTATTTTTGTGTAGATTTGGAGCCAGTCCTTCTAATATTTTCCAAGTGTAAATTATTATTTATCTCTCCCGTCTGCATTTTAGGGAATACAGATTTAAAATTTTTAGATGGTCCCAATAATTTAGATGTTTCAGTGAGTGGATATTAGCATTAAAGAATCTTTGCACGCTCGCCAGGTCAGTAATTTCTCCAGCTTTGAATGGCACTGTTGGGTGTGCAACAATATTCCACTCTAGGGAACACTAATGTCTTAAAGTATCATCATTGGTGTAGCATCTCTTGTTTGGAAGGTTCTTGTTATCCAACCTGTCATTACTCTTGTAGTTGTGAAAGCAACTTTGTTGTGTTCTTTAAAAGTAAGGTCTTCTGACATGATTACTCCTAAATCTTGTACATTGCTTTTGTCTTTTAATAGTGTGGTTTGACCATATTTTGTATGTGGCTTCTGTTTTGATGTTTTCAATTTTTCCATAGTGCAGTAATTGGAACTTATCCTCATGAAACATATATTATTTCCTGTGGCCCATTAAAAGACTTGATTAACATCAGATGTGAGGTTTGCTATATTGTCTACTTTCATAAAAATTCTAGTGTTATCTGCAAAGGATGATATAGTACTATAGTTTGTATCCTTATCTATATCTGATATGAGGATGAGGAAAAGTACTGGAGCAAGCATGGTACTGTGGGAAACTGATCTTTTCAGGGTGGATGATTCAGATTTTTCTTAGCTGACTATTACAATCTGGGTTCTGTTTGTTAGAAAGTTAAAGATCCATCTCCCGACTTTGCCAATAATTCCTTTTATGCACCTTTTGTGTGCTATAATACCATGGTCACATGCACCACCATCATTTATCATTCATGTATGCCATTAAATATAAAACAGCCTTTGAAAGTGGACACGAATAACAGAATTATTGATGGGAAGTGTATTACTTTATATAGTGTGTGAAAATTTACCAATGACAGTCTAAGTTAGAGAGCAGGTGAGTAAGGCCAAGAGATCAGATATGTTAAGAGTGTGTTCTTGTAAAATGGGAAATGTAAGTTTTACTTCATTAAAAAAATAGTATTCAGTTGCATAGACAAGTTACTGATATTATAATAGGAGAGGACTTCATAACTGACATTTATTATGTCTCCTATTCATCCTGGTTCATGGAGTTTCATGGACTCTTGCTCGGTTCTTATTGTTAATTGATGTTTATTGCTCAGGAAGAGGCACAGGGGTACCTTCATGATCATGCTTTCATACTGATATCTTATTATGCCATATTTATTTATTCATTCTTTCTTTTTTGTTTACAGAATGTTAACACTCATGATACTTTAGTTTTCACATTATGCACTGAAATTATGGCTTTTCCGGAAAGTGCGTGGACAAAAGTACTTGTTCGCTGTCTAAATCAACTCCATCTTACACCAGGCAACTTCAGCACATTAAGACAAGTTGGTGTGTTAGCTGGTAAAATGTTAAAGGTGAGATTATTGTTATTTGAATGTAAACAATTGTTTTAGCAGTAGTATAGGTAAGATTTTTCTGCACTTTTTTTTTTTTTTATAACTTCTGCTGCACGAGTCATTCAGAGATGACCGCAGGATATCTGATCAACCTGCGCAGTCATCTAGTGATAATTTAACGTGCATGTGAGATTTAAAACTCCTGTGGGTACACAGGGCTCACATCGGCTTTCTCAGGCCTTCAGTAAACAGGTGCACTTTTGAAGAGAAAAACATGTGGACACCTTTCCTGGGTGTGAAGGCCTCAGTACTGAGTGAGGAACTGAGGGTATCACATGCAACATGAGCTAATAGCACTGCTGTTCAGCTTATGTCCACAGCATCACTTAAGAATGATGAAATATATAAGTACTGTAACTGCAATTATTTTGTGATGATAGCATCAAAGAAGATCCTGACTGTGAGAAGACTGTGTACAATGTTCAGATATCCGTGAACACAATGCTGTTTATGATGTTCACAAAAGATGCAGGCAGCCACAACACTACCATTGTTTGGAGCATGTAAGCATCTTGAAATGACAGCTCATCTTTCTTATGAAAATAAATTTGTGGAAAATTATTAATTTTCAGGAAATAATGACCAGGATTCTGATAATGGCAGTATTGTGCCTAGATTTAGCAGTGTGCATAGTATGTTGAAAGGAAGAATTTTTGCCGAGCCAGGTGGCGTCATCTTCACAGCCAAGATCTCCTTGGCTGTGATGGTACAATGCCATTTGGACTAACCGGAACAGCTTAATGGTTCGTTATGGTGCACAAAAATGTAGGTAGATATATATAACATGTGTATAGTGCAATAATTGCAAAAACTACATTTTATTGTTCAAAGAATATAATATTTATCACATATTAGTGACATGAATATACTATGTGTACCAATATTCTGAATGTTCTGTGATACAAATAATAATATTGACAGCCCAGTACAACATTGCACTTGAAAAAACTTGGTAAAAATATTTAAAATATGAAGAAATTATTAATTATTCAATACATGCTGTTAGAAATTAGTGATAAAAAATGAGCGACTAGTCTGAATTCTAATAACTGGTTATAAGATTAATACACCTAACAGAAGTGGTTAGTAGTTTCTAATGGTATATAAAGATGTAGATAGTTCTCGTATAACCAGGGCAGTTCGTTTTACCGCTGCTGCGATCATTGGGTGCGGTGCCCCATTGCCCTTTCGCTGGCTGATGTGTCACTGGCTTCCTATTTTGTTTTTTCGGGGTTTATTTTCCTGGTACCTTCCTCCACTCTAGCTTTACAGATGACTCAGCTCTGGGTTGGAGCTTTGTGACCAGTGCTCACCAAGATGGCCAGGGCCAGTGGTTTCCTCTCCTTCATGAGGTTTGCAGTACGGTTCAGGAGTTGGTGGCTATGGGGCATTCGCTGCAGAAGGTTCCGATACCTCCGGGCTCCATTTGGACTGTTACCTTGTGGTCCACAGTCTCAAGCAAGGCTGGGGGGGGGAAGGGTTTGCTTTGGTCCCTGTCTATTTGGAGCTGGATGCTTTGTGTAGCTCTATTGCGGAGTTCTTATGGTTTGGGTCTTTGTGCCATTTATGTCTGGAAAGTGTGGAAAGTGTCCAACATTCTTCTGAACTGTCTGTCTTGGGTTCCTTTCTTTTTCCACAGCAAGGACTGTTGATGCTGCCTCTTCCTGTGGCTTTGTGAGACGTTTGGGCACTTGGATGTGGATTTCTTTGCGTCGGCATGGAATTGGCACCTTCCTCTGTATATGGCTCTGTTCACTGATTGTGAGCCTCAGACAAAACAAAAGGCAGATGTCTTTTGGCTGGACCGGTTGTGGCGGGGGTTCCTGTGTCTCTTTCCTCCTGGCCTGGCTGTTGCTCCAGGTTCTGGCCAGGGTGTAGTCCTATCATGGGAGGGTGGTCATTCTAGCTCCCTGGTGGCTGGCTCAGCTTTGGTTTCAGGCACTGCTTACTCGGTGTCCTACCCCAGGTATTTTTCCTATGTCTCTGCTTCTATCAGAAGGGTGACCCAATGAGTACTTCATTGGTTTGAGTTTCTCAGCTCTTTGTGTCTGAACTTTTCTTATACTTGTTTTTATCGCTATCTTTACGGCGAGCACATGACTTAGATGGTGTCCCACCTGCGTTCAATATTGAAAGGAAAATGTTTAATTGATTTTTCCTGGGTTCGATGGGGTTGATAAGGAATAAATGGCATGCAGCCTTAGGGTCAAATGCCTGGCATATGTGATTGACAAAATAGGTTAATAGAAAGGTCAGGGTGAAAAAATGGTTAGTGCAATGGAAGTTCTAGTAAGAAAAAAAGCAAAATTAAATGAATTCAGTCAGAAGGCTCAATAAAGAGGTGCTAGCACCAACCCACTTGTATAGATGAGAGATGATGCTGTTGTGTGAACATAAAATAAATAATACAAGTAGTAAGAAGTAGATAATCTGAGATGCATGTCTGATGTTTGGAGAAAGATCAGAAAGAAAAGAGAAAAAAAAAGAAAAAGATCAGAGAAAGGAAAAGATTGGAAAAGTGAATGAAGTGCAAGATTTAGCTAAGCGCACCGAGATGATTTGGTCACGTTCAACGAGTGGATGATGGTAGAATGCTGAAGAGTGCATATTAGAGGGAATTTTAGGGTAGGAGAAAGAGAGGAAGTCCTAGATGGTGATGGATAGAAATATAATGCAAGTACAGTACATGCCTCATTGTACTTACCTAATTGTTCTTGATGGGGTTGAGCTTTGGCTCTTTTGTTCTGGCTCTCTACTGTTAGTCATCTGGTGTACAGGTTCCTGAGGAAGTGGTGATTGGGTGCGCATAATACACAAGATGTGACGAGGGCTTGAGGATTGGTGGAAGCAAGTTGTAAGGAGAGGGTGAAATGTGCTTGTCTTTAATGTGATATTTTGTGGGGGAGCTATGTACCCACCTAGTTGTGCTTGCGGGGATTTGAGCATCGGCTCTTTGGTCCCACTTCTCAACTGGCAATCAACCAGTGTACAGATTCCTGAGCCTATTAGGGTCTATATATACATATTAGGCTCTATATGTGCCTGCAGTTTGTGGTACTGGTATGCTGTTGTTGATTGCTAGTGTTGCGTGGCTTTTTATTTTTTATGCTATAATGTGAGTGGCATAAAAAATTGAGGAATATATACACAATATAAATTAGTTCCTAGCCATTGTTTTTATTTACAATTTATTTTTCTAATTTTAGTTAGAATTGTTATTTAAAAACTGCCTCTGATTTCAGCTTGTGAAAGACAGAGTAAGCTTGAATGCCATTGAACGTTTCAATGCCTCTATTCAAAGTCTCCTAAAAAATGCCCCCGAGCTGGAATCAGAGGCTAAGAATGAAGTCAAAATAGATGCAACAGTTCTGGGTCTTGAAGATTCGTGCTGTTCCCCAGGTGAGTGGGATGAATGTATCCTCTTGTACTACAATATGCCCCTAATTAGGAATCATCAGTAGCCATGTAAAATAATTATAAATCATTCTATTTTAATTATTATTTGCAATGACTGTTAAAAAAGTCCATTTAACTGTCTTATTTAATGGGTTATGCAGGATTAGTTATGCTGTGATCATTTTAATACTTTAATGTCCCTATCTGCCCTGTCAATTCCCCGGATTATTTTTTGTGTAATCATGTCTGCCCTAACACTTTTTTCATTCAGTGATGTAAGGTTTAATTTGTTTAATCTCTCTTAGTAAATTATCTCCTTGGAAAAAGAGATGGCTGGTCATCGATACTTAATTGTTCACCCAGCACTAATTTGGGACCTGGTTGGAAGCTGATTGGTTGATTGTGTTCTGTGGAAAACCTATTAATATGAGCTGGAAGTTCTCTGCCCTTTACGATCCTGCATTAAAAAAAGGCATCAAAGTAACTGATATGCACTATATTAGTTTGGGGTCATCAGTCACAAAGTCCTTATGCCTACCGGGGACCACGAGCCAGAACCTGGTCCCCTCAGAGAGGTGCAGGGAGCAATGGCCTATGAGCACTTTATGATGAGCCTATAAAGCTATGATGGGCCTATGAGCTATGATATTTAAAGTATGTCATAATTGTCATTGACCGGGGAAGGACCCAGAAAGGTAGGTGAATCAAAACAGACCACTGTGTGGGGTTAACCTGTGCAATCTACATCCCTAAAGATCAAAATAACTCCCCTAGAAAGACACCTAACGAGCAACACTTCACGTACTTAGCTTGTTAGGGCTAATGTTTTCATTCGCCTACCTTTGTGGGTCCTTCCCCGGTCAATGACAATTATGACATAGTTTAAATATAAACTGCTCATAAGCCATTGCTCCCTGTGTCTCTCTGAAGGGGTCAGGTTCTGGCTTGTGGTCCCCGGTATGCATAAGAACTTCTGTGACTAATGACCCTAAACTAATATAGCACATATCAGTTCCGATAGCTTCAGGGAGCCTCTGGGGCTCCCCACAGAACAGGCCAATTACAGTGATTCCGATACATCAGTATACCTTTAATAAATAGGATGATTCACTAATCCGCAAAAGAACTTTAAGTATGAATCCAAAATGTATTCTGGCAATTTTTGCTGGGTTGTGAGGCATGTAATTCATATATTATTTTGTCATTCATTTAGCTATGGGCACTTTCCATATCTTACCAGTCCCATGCTAATTATTGCTGGATCAACATTGGTATAGTGTTCTGAGGCGCCTACATTTTTCTGCTTCTGCTTGTGATACATAGCACACTGAACTTTTTTTTTTAAATCTTACTTTATTTTGAGAACTGTTAGAAGCATGCACAGACAAAATATGGCTTTTAGTGACTATTCATGTGTTTATGTAGTTAGTAGCTCTATTATCAAGTACCTTAAGTGTTAATAAATAATTTAATTCTTGATTTTAGGTGCAAACACGCCAAATAAGACATTTGAGACTACAGTGGTTAGAAAGAAGAGGATGTTGTACAACAATCAAACAATATCTGATCCTGAAGTCTTTTCAAGTGAGGTGAGTGAAAGGTATTGTGTGTATAATGTAAATATAATATAATTTAAAGAATTGTAATACAGTAATGAAATGTATAAGGCCAGATACAAAATTTTTATCTAAAATACAGCAGTTGAAGAATCACCACCAAGGAGGTACAAGGTATGAGGCAAATACCATGATAAATGATTTGAAGGGTGTATGCAACCTGGGCATATGAAAAGTACCTGATAATTTACAGGGAATGAGAATTTAATTTTGGATTTAGATGCGTTTCCTGGCATTGATAATATAACCGACTTGTGTATAGAGGCTATCTTGAGATGATTTGGGGCTTAGCGTCCCCGTGGCCTGATCCTCGACCAGGCCTCCTTTTTGTTACACAACCCCAGGAAGCAGTCCATAGCAGCTATCTAACACCATGTGCCTGTTTACTGCTAGGTAACAGGAGCATCAGGGTGAAAGAAACTGCCTATTTGTTTCTGCCTCCACCGGGAATCGAACCCTGAACATTAGGACTACGAATCCCAAGCGCTGTCCACTCAGCTTTCAGGTCCCACCTGTCAGAAACCCATAGTAACACACAGATGGTATTCTTTTTGTCAAATTCTGTTCTCAAGAAAGTATTAGAGTTTGTAAAATGATGCAAGTTGCAGGAGTCATCATTTCATGACTCAAGTGTAACTCTCAACCAGTGCATGGGTGTAGTGTTTCGAGAACTGATGCAATACTTTGAGGAAAGGATTAAGTAGGAGCTTAACTTGTAATGTGCGGCATTTGATTTAGACCCATACCTGACTGCAAATGAATTAAGAAATTAAACAAATTTCCTGATAGAATGATTAATTTGGATGGAAAATGTGCGTAAAAGTGGAAATACAGTAAACCTAATATCCTCATTGTAGCAGAGTTAGTGCATTGAACAAGTACCAGGGGTGTGGGGTGGCTCACCCCCCCCTTTCTCTCATCACCAGCATTTGCTGTCAACAACACATACTGTTCTGAGCCATTCAATAACTTTGGATGTATAGATGATCTCTTATACACTGATGTGTACTGTATGTACGAATGAATGAAATAATGTATGTATGTATGAAATGGTATAAAATTCCATTATAATTACATGATATTTTTACTGATTATGTTTACCTGGTTTTCACAACTACAGTATATTGTTGTAATGAATAAGATCAGGTCAACCCATTATCATTGGAACATAATCATAAAGAAACTACAGAAGGACTGCCGACCCATACGAGGCAGCTCCTATTTATATAGATGTAAATAGGAGTTGCCTCATTTTTGCCAATTATGAGGTACAACATTACTTTTGTAGCATTTAGTTCACAAATGAACACACATAATTTATGCAAGACAAATAAAAATGGTAATTGATTAATAAACTATCTATCACCATTACTAGATCATTGGTGTCAAATAAATACAATCAAGATATAATAGTAAACTCATTAAAAACACCTATTTGTTTAGTTTAGCTTTTTAGAAACACTTATTTAGCATTTAGTTCACCTGGATATCTTTTTTTTTTTCTTATTCAATAACTACTATAACATCAAATGATGTCACTGGCCACCTGTTGTCTCCCAACCTTGGTGCTGGCAGCATTGTTGGGATATCTCTGTTGAACTATCACTGTTGTCCTTGAGGAGCTAAGGACAGTAGCATAGATAGCTTGGCATTGGTCATAACCCTGGATGCCTTGTTGTTGGGAGATTGTGCATATCTTCTTTGCATACAAGCCGTGCTTACATAGCATAAGGGTACCTACTAACTGGAGATCCTCCTTGCATCTCTGACAACTGTGGTGTTTACTAGTTGTGTTTTTGCGGGGGTTGAGCTTTGCTCTTTCAGCCCGCCTCTCAACTGTCAATCAACTGTTTACTATTTTTTTTTTTTTTTTTCTTTCCCCCCCACACCACACACCCACACCCCAGGAAGCAGCCCGTGACAGCTGACTAACTCCCAGGTACCTATTTACTGCTAGGTAACAGGGGCACTTAGGGTGAAAGAAACTTTGCCCATTTGTTTCTGCCTCGTGCGGGAATCGAACCCGCGCCACAGAATTACGAGTCCTGCGCGCTATCCACCAGGCTACGAGGCCCCCAGGCCCAGCTATGGTGTTGCTGATGGTGTGGCAGTGGGACAACTTCGATGCAAATGTCTATGATGTCATGGCCATTTGAGGATACTATCTGCCATCATTCATGCTGGGGTGTAATGTTTCCTCCTCACTGAGTGGTGTATTTCATTTTATGAAAAAGGCTGGTATCCTCTGACAATTTAATTATTATTTTTTAATCACATTGAATACTATACAGTATTTACTTAAGTGTTTTTAATGAATTTACTATTACATCTTGATTGTATTTATTTGACACCAATGATCTAGTAATGGTGACAGATAGTTTATTAATCATTCAACATTTTTATTTGTCTTGCATAAATTATATATATGTTCATTTGTTTCTGGAGAGGTCATAATGGCTGGTTACAGGGAGCCACAATGGTCTCCCATTGAAAGAAGCATTTCATTAAATCTAACGTTGGTTTATTAAACACGTGAAAAACAATTAATTGAACTGGAGTACCCCTGTTAATGAATGGTTTGGATGGAGTTGCTTCCTTTACAGGTGTTTGTTGAAGCATTTATTATTACTACATTAACTGAATTAACTACAAGTTGTATCTTTAAGGAGTCTGATGTTGAGGGCAGCCCTATGAAACGCCTGGCTCTCAGCTCCTCAAATACGTCATTGGGTCAGGAATCGGTGAATCTGAACTCTCCACCAGCCGTTCCTGTTCAGGAAAATGTACGTTTTAATGCCAGCTTAGTATTTGTTGCTATTTGTTCATGTTTTTATTACACGGGGTTTTTGTGTGCAGCACTTCCAATAGTTATACCAGTGAAGATATTTTAATTAAAATTGCTCTTAAGCTGGAAATTTACTGGATCAATTTTGTAGCCACATATTTTGTAATGGTATTGTGGCTTTGTTACTATTTCCAAGTTTTGCAAAATTAGATTCATTGCCAGTCAGTGCATATACAGTAGTGTATGTTCACTACAAAATATTATCTCATTACATCTCAAGATTCTCCAAAATGCTTTAGTAAATAATAGATATAATTAGACTCAGAGCAAGCTCTTGTGTTTGTATTAATTTGTTTGTAGATTTTAATTGTAATTTGTGTTTGTAGGAATACAGTATTTTAAAATGTCTATAGAGTGGAACCTCGATATGGCAAGTCTCTAGTTGCAACACTTTCCGAGCTTGATCTACCTACCCCGAATTGACAATATCTTGTTCTGTGCAGCAGGGGATGTACGGGTTTGCTTTGGATGTTGGGCTAGAGTTTACAGACTGGTGGAAAAGTTTCCCCCATCATATGATAGGTTGATATTAAAATTTTGCTCAGTGAAATTAGCCCATACATCATGGGAAATATTAGGGCATGCATGGTAACGTTCTTAATGACTCCACTCACTTTTGTAATGATTTTTGTAGATGGATGTAATATTAAAATAAAGATTTAGGGCCTTTGGAAATTCATTGAACATATTTTAAACCAAATTCTATTGTTTGTTTTCGTTTTCACTTAGTGGTTTTCATCCACCAAAATATGGGACTTCTTCCTTTGAAAATGAGGTTTCAAGGCGGGGCATGGGAAATATGCTGGATGGGATTAAATCTCACATCCAGCAAATGGAATACTTCCCTTGCAAATAACTGTCAGGAAAGTCATGTTAGTGATCAGCTGTTTAAGAGAGTACAGTACTGTATTAAGACAGTTTTGTCCACAAATGAACTACATGATGGGTCAGTTGAGGCATCCTAATGTTCCTCTAATGTGATATATATTAGCTTTGAGAATACCAATCTAGGGTAGCGTAAGCACCCTGTGTATTAGCATGTAAGGTTTGTCGATAAATGTTGTCAAGTTTTACTATTGTGTTGCGTAAGACCCTCTTTAAATATGGCTACTCATATTTTTTAAAAGTAGCAGTGCCTTCAGCACTACACTTGCTTGAAATTTTAACACCATTAAGCGTTTAGTCATAAATTAGGAATTTTTATGAGGATCCATTGATAAGGCCTTAAGAGTACTTGCATAGAAGCACTTATTTAGAGTGCTCTTGTTGCATAGAAATTTACTCTCATGATCAATGTGAATCAAGACCCGGTGGAGCCTGTTGATAAGGACCGCCCCACAGATGGATCCATATTCGACCTGTTACACTCTGGACGTGAAAGCTTGCTCTTGTAATTGTTAGACTTTGATTAGCATTTAACAAAGCTGTCAGCTATTGACAATTGGTGATGTTGCATGCAATTGCAGTCAGGGAAAAGCAAAATGCCACAGTGGAGCTAATTAGTGGTTAGACATTGTAAACGAGTGTATACATATAGTAGTTTGAATCAGGGTTGTAAATGTTGTCCAAGCAATTGCTTGTTTTTGAGCAATCTATCTTGCTGATGGATTTTCCTTTAGTAATGTGGTGATCTTGTATCCTCACTCCGCTCTGCTTCTTGATGGGGCCAGATTCTAGTCCTGGTCTCAACTGGATACAGTACATGATTTATGCCTAACAGTTTGTTTTGTGATAAAGAAGGTCTCCACATAAATGAGGGTCAGATGAATAAGGTTGCACAGTTTTACCTTTCTTTTTCAGTATCACTGTTGGAATTTTTCCTTTGTTCATATTCATAGTTATATAATGTCTTCATTATTGTTATTTAACAGTGATTGTTTTATTTTATTCAGAATGACCCAGAGGCTGGAGTAGCTCCTTTAGATACAACTCCAAACATAGCACCGGTTACTGTGGTCATTCCTCCCTCCGACACAGAGTTTGAATTGTAAGAACAAATTGTGATGATTCCAGTTTTAATATGTAATACTTTCTTAAAGCATATAAATTGAAAGCACTTGTCACAAATTCTAGATATTTTTGTGTTGCCAATTTACTTAAATTTTTTATTTTTTTATTTAAGGATTCCTGAATATTTGAGGTACAGTAGTTGACAATAGTAAATATAATGTATATCTGGACCTCAGCAAGGCCTTTGATTGTGTTATATCTTGAGGTTATCTTGAGATGATTTCGGGGGCTTTAGTGTCCCCGCAGCCCGGTCCTCGACCAGGCCTCCACCCCCAGGAAGCAGCCCGTGACAGCTGACTAACACCCAGGTACCTATTTATTGCTAGGTAACAGGGGCATAGGGTGAAAGAAACTCTGCCCATTGTTTCTCGCCGGCGCCCGGGATCGATCCCGGGACCACATGATCACAAGTCCAGCGTGCTGTCCGCTCGGCCGACCGGCTCCCCTATGGACCATCGAAACTCGTGGCATTGTAGAAAACAAGTTATTGAAGTTATTGAAAAAAGATCAGAACCCTCAACAATTGGTACAAGATGGAGAAATTTTGTTTTTAGAGGGGAAAATATTAATTTGGAAATAGATTTGTGGATGAATGGAATGGGTTTCTGGCTGGCATTATTGACACTCGGTTTAAAAAATTTCAGTAATAGATTGGATAGGTATATGGGTGAGTGGGTGGATTTAAAGGGTATGTAACTAGTGTAGGTCAAAAGTCCTGCTGCAGTGCCCTCTACTTCTTATGCTTCTATATGTATAAATGTGTGGAAACATCACCTTCATATGTAAAGCTGGCTAATAGAAGAAAAGCCTTTAGAGATCTGAATAAATAAAGAGGCAATAGAACACTTCTTGCCAACCTTTTCACCACTAGAACCCCTTCTATTTTATGAATGTCTCACTGAATTATATTTTTTCCCCGTAATCCTCTTTCATTTTAAAAACATCTGTGCAATTAAAAAAAGCAGCATTGAAATAATTTGTTAACCACTGACTATATTGGTAGGACACAACTGGTCATTAACCTGTGAATGCAGGTAATGGAATCATCATCAGTTGATGGTAAGAAGGGAATATCTTGAGTTAATTATTCTTGCACATTTAAATTGTATCTGAGCTCATATTACACTCTTTCAGGACACCAAAAGTTGGCCAAGATGATAATGTTGGAAGTTCAGATTTATTCAGTTCAGCTAACAGCTCTCCTCAACTGTTCATCAGCACACAACACCAAGAGGCCAATATACCCAACACATCAAAACCGTCCAAGTAAGAGATGGTTATAACCTACCGATCCATGTATGTTGGCCTTAATAAACTGAGGTCGAACACACACTCGGGCTTAATATTTTTCTTATGTAGTACGAGTACAGCAAGGTTGCTGTGAATCAACTCTTTCACATTCTCTGAAATAATTTAATTGAAAATGAAATTAGGCATAATATCTCTCCCTTGCTTGGTTTGACTTGTCATGCATTATTAGGGATTTGTACCAATTTCACAAATTAATCAATTAAAATTGGCATGTTTATCTGAACAATATACTGAAGAAGAGTTTGCATTACTGATGTTTAAAATCTAATAACTATGATCATGAATAAAATGATTCATGAATAAAATGAATTTTTATTCATGAAGTTGATTCATGCATAAAATGTGTGTATCAGTACACTGATGCCACTTTGAGATGTACAACTCAGTTTAATTTGTTTCCACTTATAGCTTTAGCTTCAAGAGATGTACTGTTGCTGGAGCTATTGGAGTAGAGATGCTGATCATTTAGTGGAAATAGTTTGCATATAATTGAGAATTTTCCCCCTTGAGTAAAAATAATAAAGGCAGTCCTTCTGTATTGAATGCTTGAGCTACTTACAGTACATTTAATCCTACATTTAATCTTATTTCAGTAAATTGGTTGTTAAGGGACAGATGCATAACTGTAAAGAACGGATGAGAATACAGTACCTCCTTTATTAGACTTTCATCAAGAAATATATTTTCTTATTGTGATGACCAGACCACACACTAGAATGTGAAGGGACGACGACGTTTCGGTCTGTCCTGGACCATTCTCAAGTCGACTTTCTTATTGTGTTATTAAACTGTTTGATACTTGATCTCCCATTCTTGGATTAATTGTACTACACAGTCCCATGCTTTTCTTTATTATTTCTTGAAACTGGGTCACCCAACTGCACCTTTCTTACCCTACCATATATTTCAGTGGATATTGATGTCTAACATTTTTATGGCTTAAAACTCTCTGGAGGTTGCAATCTGACCCAATCTTTCTGACCCAGTACTATGTCACTGTTTCTCTCTACTCTACACCAACTGTGTATTATTTCATTGTATATAACTCAGTAACTCTGTAACAAACCAATAGTTACACAAAGGTGCGTTTGTTAATGATATAAGCACAAATATTTTGTATCGACTGGTATCACAAGTACTGCCAGTTCCTTTTAATGTTCCATACCCCTTCAACAAATATTTTTAATTAAGAAGTGATATTTCATTCTTACAGGTCTGCAATGGAATATGATAGTGAGAATAGTACCTCATCTTCCAGCAGGAGGCGGCGGAGTAAGCTAGAAACATCTACCGGAGACACAAGTGAAGAAGAGACAGTCCTCCCTCCTAAAGTTTCTCGAACATCTCGGTAATATTGTCTCTTCATTCAACATCTGTTACCTCTAAACACTCATTGTGGAAAGTTCAATCTCCTTCAAACATTCCTGTTATTTCATATATACTTGTATACCATACTTCTTTCTCTATATTTATCTGAAATCCTCCCAAGAGCTGGTTACACCTCATTCACTGTTTTTCCTGGGGGGAGCCCTGTCGGCTCCCTGAAATTATCATAAACTGATCAGTGCCACACTATCAGGTGCCAGCAGTCACAGGAATTCTTATGGGGGACCGGGGGTTCCGGGGACCTAGAGCCAGAACCTGCTCCTCTCAAAGAGGTGCAGGGAAGTGGTGGCCTATGAAAACTTTACATTTAAATTCTAACATAATACTACCCAGAAAGGTAGGCGAATCAAAATAAACCACTGCATGGTTTAATAAGAACCACCTCAGCCCGAAAATCACCAAAAAAACTCCCCCAGTCTGAAAATCACCAAAAGAACTCCCCCAGTTTGAAAAACACCAAAAGAACTCCCCCCAACCAAATTTTCTTGCCAAATTTTCTTGAAAGCATGCTGGGACTTGCTTAAGTGTCTCAAGTCTCTTCTAACCTAGTACAGTAATTCTAGTCAAACATAGCTGCATTTGCTTTCTGTTTTCAAAATTTTCAAGAAATTTTCTACTAGTGTACTTGAATTTTTGAACATATTCATATAGATATTTTATTACACAAATACTTGCTCTCATTTATATTTAATTTTAACAGCATAACAAGGGGTCATTCAAAGGGACGTTTCCAAATGTCAGTGCCATCACCAGAAAAATCCAGCGATAATACTTTGGATACTTCAAGTGACTCCATCTCACAGTCAAGCTACTTGACGCCGCCATCTCAAGAAATAAGTAGTGCATCATTCACTACCCCTGTTGAAAATATTTCAGTTTCTGACTTAAAGTTGGCACCGAAAGAGCATATAAATGCCGAAAAGACTGTTACACCAGATGACTCCTCCATGATGTGTGAAAGACCCCCACGTCAGAAGGCAATTTCAAGATCAAAATCACAAGCAAATGCTAGAGAGACTGCACAGCTGTCCAAGGCTTCACAGAATACCTACTCAACCAGAACAAGGTCTCAAGCTTCAACTCCAAGTGATGATACAACACCTGTTCGCAGGTCTACAAGAATTGAATCTAGTTCAGTGAGGTGAGATCCTGCTTTTAAGATACAAAATGATTGAATCCAGTTTGCATTAGCTTATGCTTCACTTTCACTTTGTCATGACTATAATGATTTTTGCTAGGTATATACATCATCTCAATTTTGTCACTCTTTAATTCCTAATTTGCTAGCATTGTCCCTCAATTTTGTTTTAAGCTTTGAACAGTTTTAATTTACATACTGTACTGATAACATTAATTATTAATTTGTTACTGTCCTGTGGCTAGATAAAATTTGCCAGTGTTCTTGGTATACTAAGAGCGCCTCATTCTTAAACTGCAGTTCTGGACAAAGCTCAGCATTTCCAACTTGATTTACTCACTACTACCAAATATGGGAAATTTTTATTTTTGAGTTGTCGAAAATAAATTAGGAAGAAACAATATTTTTAGAATCTCTTGTAGAAGAGTTTTGTCGTTAAGGCAGGTTTGAAGTTGAGGGGTATACAGTAATTCAATTTTCACTAGCCTACAATATTTTACTCCATTCGTGGACAAAAGTAGTGCTAATATCTATACATAATTCTTTTGACTTGGTATTTCAGTTGGTATTCATGGGTTCCTAGTTCTTGCTACTGTATGGGTAGGTAATTTTGCAACAAATTTGTTCTTCATAACTTATAGTTGGTGAATAATAATTAAAATCAGTTAGAATTTGAGCTGCTGTAGTTAGTTATGTGCTTTATCAGAACCAAAGTTTACAGGAAACATTCATTTACCACAAACATTGTTTGTGGTAAACCCATTGCCCACCACTGCGGTGCAAACAATTGTGTATTCCTTGTGAAAGAGGTGAAGAGATTGGGCTGGGGATCATCTTAAAATCTTTCCCCATGCGGCCAGTATTGGCCTCTGACCTAGTTTGTGCCTGTCTGGGTCATCGAAGATGTATGCAGGCATGTATGACTGTGGAATTTGATGGGAATAAACAAAGGTGAATGGAGGTGTCAAAGTTTTACGAGAGAAATGTTTGATGTGCTTAGTTCATACGAGACAATATTTAGAAGTAGTGAGAGTGAAGAGTGGAATGTAGTAAGAACTGTAGAGCGAGAGTAGTAAAGAAGGCCTAGGCCTCTTGATTACTAAAGAGTGATATTAATACTTTCATGTTTCAATGACTCGCGCTATCTGTACTCCAACAGTAAACGTTCTGAAGATGCTGAAATGCGTCATCCTATTGCTGTTTATAAACATTCATATTTTCATCGTTGTTGTGCATAAGCTATTATTAATACGTTTGTTTATGCATCTTTTCTCTAGAGAATTTATTTGCTAACATTTTGACATCAAATGCATAATTATAACACAATAATAACTTTAAAAATGTGAAATGATTGTAAACATTTTAAGCATCACTGAGCAGGACCCGCTGAGCTCACTGTTTACAGTCAGGAATTGACAGACAAGGGTTTAATTATTTCAAATGCTGTTACATTTTTGCTTGTGCATCTGTTCTCTGGAGAATTCATTCACAAACATTTTGACATCAAATTTATGTTTATAACCCAACAAATAACTTAGAAAATGTAAATTGATTAAATTTTTTTTTGCATCACTGAAGAACCTGGGGAGCCCAGAACGTTTACAGTCAGGAATGTGCCGAGAGGCTGGACCTCCAAAGTGTTGACCTTTAAAGTGTGGTTATCATCATACATTGATCCCCCCCAAGTTAATACAGTTTTTATATGTTGATTTTAGTTATAGCCCAGTTTTCATACAAATGACATAAATATGGTTGTAATAAATATAAATGACTAATTTAGTTAATCTAGACCCATGAAAAAATCTGCTATCTTTTTTAAATTGCTTACTATAGATGAGGTCATCTTGTACCACAAGTAATGTGTTTATCGTCAAATTACAATTTGGTGTTTCTCACCAGTGTTTCATCTATTTCTGAATAGACATTTCCAGATATTATAGCAGCAAAGGAGTGGGTTATAATACACTTTCTTTGAGCTGTTCCAGGAAAATATTTATGTGCATTATAGGTTTAAATACTACAGTATAGGCCTATAGTATATACAGTATTTTTTTTTTTTGTAAAATCTGAGAATAAGTTATTCCACATGTTGTTTAAACTAAATTAAAACGGCAAACACACAACCCTTCAAATACGATCATTACAGCTCACTCCTTCACTTAGCATGTCGGCAGAATTGCATTTTATTTTTTCTCATGCAGAGAAGTACTTTTTATCGTAACCACATTTTAAAGGTTCCTCCTCTTTTCATAACTCAACTGCTAGTGTGTGTGAGATTCAGTTTTGAAAAGGCTAATATGACTGTCATAACTGAGAAAGAGGGAGAGGGAGATAGGGGAAAGAGAAGTAGAGAGTGAGTGCCTAATAAAGCCTTTATTTTATTATCAGCACTGATTCTGAGAAGACACCAACTAATCGTCGACTTGGTCGCACTCTAAGTAGCAGAAAAGCTAGTGATCGAGCAAGCAGTTCTAAAAGGTAATTACCATTTAAATATATACTGTAATTAGTATTGTAGACTTTAAAGTTTATTTTAAGCTAATAACTTTATTTTTTATATTGGTTCATGCAAGTTATTATAAAGTTTGTAATATTTCTGGGCGGGTTCCAAAGATGGCTTCTTGGTGCTAACTTTCTGAATAGTTCCACCAATTCAATCCATATCAGGCCCTTGTGGGGTCATTGTAAAGCTTCTGGGAACCACAGGCAAAACCTGGCCCCCCCTATAAGAGTACAAGGAACAGAGGGTACTAGATTACCCCAACCTTCTCCTGCAAAACTGAACAGGGTAAAACAATCAATACAGAACATAGAAATCAAGACATTAGAACCATCCGGTTGTGAAGCATTTCACTCGTTAATTGCACCTATGTGTTGTCAGGTGGCCATGTGCCTAGCTTGTCAATCTTCCCAACTATAAACCATCAGTCATTTTGCCTGGAACATCATATCCATACATCGCAGTTAGACTCATCATTCAACGCTAGTGATCCTTTAAGTCCTGGTTATTCAAATAAGTGATGGCCATTATGGACTTTGTCATGTGCATGCAATTTGCTTGTGTACTCATTCTGTGTTTTAGTATTTACTTCTTGTGGGGATTAACTGTTTACCTCAAGCTGCTTCTGCCTAGAGTTATTATTTCAAAGTGCTCACTGGTATTGCCTCTGCCCAGCCAGGGTTCCTTTCCATGCTGGGCTTGGGTAGCTGTTTCTGAGAGGCTGTCCTGTCGAGGGAGCCTCGCCCTCAGCAGTTTATGGGTCTTAAATTTTTTTGTGAGGCTTTGTGAATGAGGCAATCAGGATATTTGTTTAAGGGTCAAACAGGGGCTTATGTGCTTGCTCTACAGTGCACTGCATACACTCTTCATTGCCACATTTGCCCTTAGGCTGTTTTTGGCATTTGTGATATTCTACTGTACTTCACAGGGTCATTTCAGATTTGTTGATTGCTGGGGTGATCGAAATGACTCCCTGCAGTGGGTGTGTTCTGTCTGTTCTTCATCCCTAAGCAGGACTGACTGAACAGTCAGTTTCTTCTTGACCTCTTTCATGTCTGGCCAGCTTCATTTCCTGTCTGATCTTCTGCATGACTGCCTTCAGTCTCGTCTTCCTGCAAATCGAGGCAAACACTTGGGTAGTGTCCCTGGACCCTCGGGGTGCTTACTGGCACGTTCCTATTCATCTACGGTTCAGGGACTGGTTCAGGTTCGTGTTGGGTATTTCCATTACTGCTTAAGGGTTCTTCGTTTCTGGTCGAGCCTTGCACCCAGGAAGTACCTTTACTAGGTCGTTGTGGGTCATGGTCCCTTATCTCCAGCCATTGGGGATTTGCATCTTGGTCTACCATGATGACTGGATTAAGATTGGGCTCCCAGCTGGTCTGCTTATCTGCATGCCAGCTTTTTTTTTTAGTTGCAGAGGGTTGGGTTCCTGATTGAGTGGTGAAAGTCCCAAGTTGGTTCAGCTGCAGGTTTGGACGTGATTTGGTCTCATCTGGGATTCCTGCTCGGCATCCTTGTGAGCATCTTGAGTGGTTGTGCGGTAAACCTATGTGGTTTACCTGCTGAACAATTTGGTTTCAGAGGCTGTACCTATTTTTCCAGGAAGTAAGAGTTGATGGCTGAATTAGAATCCCAGATATGAAAGGGGAATTAGGTTGATGACCACCCCTATTAAAGGGGCCTAAAAGCTTCCAGAAAAGTCCAAGAATCATGTTTCAGTGTTTGGAAAAAGACACCAAGCTGTCTGCCCCACATGTAGCAAAGGGGGCAAATCACAAAAGGGCCTGCATGAAGTACAATGACTAATATATTTTATCTATATCCATTTATATTTAACTTTGTGTATCCAATTTTCTTATTTCTCTTCTATATTAGGATATTAAAAGAATGCTGATAACTGATTAAACTATAACTGTTCGTAATGTCTGTATCTTTAAAAGTTTCACACACTGCGTTACCAGTATGGTACAGTGTTACACACACTACCATACTGGCTCCAGATGGCAGTTTTGAAGACCAGAGAGACTGGTCAAACATTATAAGATGTGAAAAATTGTTTATAGTTCTCTGGAAAAAATTGGTTTCTACATCTGATTATGACCTCTCTCTCTCTCTCTTTTTTTAATGCAGCTCTGATCCAGGCAAGACTTCACCTGCCCGCCGAGGTGGCCGTTTGTCAAACACAAATCGACTGGCAAGCAGATCCAGAAAGTAAATATAAACCAAGTTTACAAGACCGTACTTATTTACTCGTTCTTTAAATGCAAGGCCTTTTAAATTCGGAAAGTAACAAGGCCTGTTACATTCATGAATTAGTTACTCTAGTGGGCTTGTATCGGAAAAGCTCTCTTATATCATTTGCTTCCTCATTAGATCACTAGATTATGAGGTATGTCTTTCATTTCTTAACATGTGCATCTGATAATGCGCTCTCTCCTCTTTTTTTCTTTTTTCATTGGCAGCAGTGATCCAGACAAGACTTCACCTGCCCGCCAAAATAGCCGCTCTTCTGCCAGCACAGATACAAATAATCGGGCAAGCAGATCTAGAAAGTAAGTATTACAAAGAAATTGCACACTTGTTGAGTCATCCTTTAACCACTAGTGTGGCTGCCAGACATTGATCCTCAGGGTAATGTGGTTATCATATGTTGATTTTAGTTCTTAGACCCATGATTTTTTGGGGGTAAATGCATACTATACAGTGAGGTTATCATGCATCAGTAGTCTGCAGTTATTAAATTGCAATTTGTTGTTTCCTGCCAGTTGGGGAAAAAAAATTGTCTGCATTCCTCCTGGCTGTGAAAGCCTCAGTACTGAGAGTGTGACCAAGTGTGGTACATGCAGCAGCAGGTTATAACACTACTCTGCAGCTTGAGGTTCACAGCACCCCTCAATAATGATGAATAAAATAAGTATCTGGGATTATTTTGCAATGATAGTGTCATAGTTGATCCTGTCTGTTAGACATGTACAAGGTACAGTGAACAAAATGCTAGTTATGATGTTCACAGCATGAGACCATTGTTTCGTGCACCTGTGCATCATAAAATGATCTCGTGCTCCTTTAGGCAGTAAACTTGTGGAAAGTGATTCATATTCAGGATTTAGTGACAGGACTCTGATGATAATAGCAGTGCTGTGGCTAAACTTAGCAATGTGTGTAGTATAGTATATTGGAGGCATTTTGTTGTCAGGTGACGATGACTGCTGGCAGTGTGTTGATAGCGTGTGGCTCTATGCTGTGCTTGGATTTCATTACCACACTCGCTAGAATTGCTTAAGTAGTTTGTTATGGTGCATACAAATGTATGCACCATACATTTGTACCAAGAGACTGCACTTCAGTCTTCGTGGCATAGTGGCAACCAGGTATGACGCTCGCCTGGCGTTCCGCGAGCGCTTTGTCATGGGTTCGTATCATGGCTGGGAGGATTTACTGGGCGCAAATCCTTAACTGTAGCCTCTGTTTAACTCGACAGTAAAATGGGTACTTGGTTGTAAAAACGATTCTTTGTGGGGGGTCGTATTCCAGGGAATGTAGGATTAAGGACTTGCCCGAAATGCTACGCGTACTTGTAGCTATGCAAGAATTTAAGAACTTGTATATATATAAAAAAAATATATATATGGCATGTGTGTGTATAGTGTAATAATAGCAAAAATTTTATGTTTTTAGTTCAAAGAATATATTATTGTGCACATATTAATGATATGAATATATCACTGTGTTCTGATATTCTACACATTATGATACAAATAATAGTGACAATGCAATGCATCATTACACTTTAAAAAAATTTATAAAAACATTTTAAATATGAATAAAGTACTAGTAGTCAATGTGTGCTGTTACAACTTCATGCAAACATTGCACGTGTAGGTCACACTGATAACCGATTATGAGATTATTACACTCTCCAAAAATACTTAGTGGTTTATAATGGTGCATGAAATGTAGATAATATATATATATATAGTCTATATGCAGTGTAATAAGAGCAAAAACATGGTTTTATTGTTCTATACTTCGAATAATAATTCTAAGAATAATAATAATATAGGCCGATAATGCATATGATCAGGCATACCAGCAGATATGCATGGCAGCTGTGTGGACATCGCTTCGGATTCGTAGTTCTAAGGTTCCGGGTTCGATCCCTGGTGGAGGCGGAAACAAATGGGCAGATTTTCTTTGACCCTGATGCCCCTATTACCTAGCAGTAAATAGGTACCTGGGAGTTAGACAGCTGCTATGGGCTGCTTCCTAGAAATATATAACAAAAAGGAGGCCTGGTTGAGGACTGGGCTGCGGGGACGCTAAGCCCCAAAATCATTTCAGGATAACCAAGATAATGTATGACAAATGATTCGTAGGGCAGCTGTGTCGAACAGTCTGGTTGACCAGACCACTAACCAGGAGGCCTGGTCAGAGATTGGGGCGACTTGGGACTTTGATCCTCAGAACCATCACAAGGTAACTTCAAGGTATGGGTTTGTACAGGAAAATCATTTGTCATACATTATCTACTTCATTAGACTGCTAGATTGTATGATGTGCATTTCATAACTCCTGACATTTGTTCCAAGATGGCTGGACCTAATTCTGCATGCTCAGTGTCAACTCTGTGATTGAGTTTTTTTGCATAGAAATGCAGGACAAAGTCATGAAAATTTGCAAATCCAGTATTTTTGTTAAAACTTGTATATGATATGATGTCTTAACATGTAAATCAATTAAGCTGTAATTAATTTGCTCTTTTTCTTATGTTCTGGCACATGACCATTATGACATGCCTCTTGGGAACTTATCCACATCCACTCCTTTCTCCTCAACACTTATAAATTTCTGTATACAGTATATCTCAACACCTGCAGCGTCCCCACACGTTAGCTTCTTTACCAATATAATCGGGTTTTCCCCTAGATATATAAAGCTGTCGTATGATCTTGCATTCTTCTCACACTGTTAACTCAAAGAGGTGGTAATGTGAGTGTGATTTATCACTCTGACTGCATGCTCTGAAACAGCTTTCATGAAACAACACACTTTTATTATTGACAAATTGGTGCTTCAATGGCTCTTGGAGTCTCGACGTTTCTCATCCCAATACATAGCAGGCGTGGTGCCCATAAGGAAACTATTTGTATGTGTCCCATTGTCCAGAAACCTGTCTTGTTTAGGATATCTACCTTGTCATTCAGATGTTACATGCTACTGTTAATATGTAGATGGCTGTCCATTATTAACAAATTATGTGCCATCAAATGTGATCTATTCCCATGGCTTTCCTGTAATAAGGAATTGTTAATATCCTTTGCTCAGGTGTCAGCCACACAAGGTTACTTGTGGGCATTGAATGAAACAAAAACCTGAACCTTATTGTAAAAATTTTTTTTTTCACTTAATCATCTATTTCATAGTTGACTCCTGATTTTCAGGATGATCGGAAACTTTGCTTCTCATTCTTCAACACAGATTGGCTTATATTTTTCTACTACTGCTATATTGGCATCCTAGATGATTGTATTTTTTGAATCTATGACATGCATAGTTTGACATAACCATAGTGGCTTAGTGCTTTTTATAATTACTATATCTTCTGTGCATGTAGCAACTGCTTATGACCTTTTTATTTTGCTTACAGCAGTGACTCTGGAGAGACTGTATCAACTCGTACACGTGCCTGCTCTTCAAATAGTAAAACTAGCCGTCGAAGAGGAAGCAAAACTGGGAAATAATTATATGTTTTAGTCTAATAAAACATTTATTATATAGGAGTTCCATGTTTTGAACTACAGAATTTAATTCACATTAGTTTATGCATGCTTTCACTTTTATAAAATTTAAGTACAATTTTTTAATAGAATAATACAATTTTAGTTTATAAATTCTTTGCTAATTCTTTCCTTTTTCTCTTCCCTGAAACAATACCCCGCCTGCAATACTCGAGAATCTTTAAATGGCTGTTAAATTGGTTATGTATACACAATATCTGTTTAGTGGATAAACTTATCTAAATTAGAATGTTGCTGATTCAACTCAATCTGTATTATAGTGATGTGGTGTAATTTTATACATCTAGAATCGTGTCTGGTTCCGCAAGTTTTGTCCACCATTTGTTATTTATACAGTACTGTATGTTATCATTCATCATGTAAAACAATTTTGCTTAATTTAGACTACAGTAAAGTTTCCTTTATTCCACCCCCCTATCCCGAGTTTAAAATTTTTGCTGGAATAATTGTTAAAGCAAATGGAATTTATTTGAGCTTAGTAATGCATAAGTTAATTTGCTGAATTTGTAGTTATTGCTCTCAGTTTGTCAGATTAGATAAAAGGAAGCATGTCTTATACAATTCTTACAGGTATTGCTAATATAAAAGTTTGACACTTCTCACATTATTATTTGATATCTTTTAATGCAGTTATTTGAATGATACATCAAAGGATAAAATTAATTATGTGCTTATTTTATATATATTTAAAGTGTATTCTTTATATTATCAGCAAGAAGCTTTTATTTAAAAATATTATTTAGTGTACATTATTAAGAGGTTTAAATACACGGCAGGAGACAAATTTTTGTTTTGAGGCTAAAAGCTGGAACCATCCCTTGATTTAGTATTATGTTACTCTATAAGAAAAGGCATAATGCAGCAAAGCTATTTCATATTTTTGTTTGTACCATTTCAAATGCCAAATATAATTTTGTGCTACAATAAATAATTTCTTTATACCTTTCTCAAGCTAGATATCAGATATTTTTGTATTTTCTAATCGCAAAATACTTGTGGACTTCTAAATAAAAAACTAGTGTTGAATGTAATGAAATGCTAATTTCTGGGCGAGCCCTGGTGGCTTCCCGAAGCTAATATCTTTCCATTCTACTGGGTTGCATTTATCGTGAAGTTATATTGGTCTACTGGGGACCAGAGCCAGAACCTGGTCTTCTCACAGAGGCACAGAAAGCAGTGGCATTTAAGTTATTCATTTATGCCACCCACCAGAAAAGGCTCACAGAAAATCAGTGAAGCAAAACCAATCACTGCTGGCTTCAAACGAGACTGTAGCCACAAAAATTGCCTTTAAGAACCCCCCAAAACTAAGTAAATGATAAAAAAAATTATGGAACTAGTGCCAGGTCATTAGGTCATTTGGCTCCCCCCCCCCTCCCCCCACTCGTTTGGGGGGGACGAGGGAGGCGTCCCACAGTCAGCCTCCACCACTCCGGCTGCTCCACTTTCAGTTCTATGATGATGTAAATACCCCCATAACCTGGAGGGAGGGGTGTCAGAAAGCCGCTGGGGCTTACCCAGAAATTTACATTTCGTTACATTCACTGTGGTTTCTGGAGGGAGCCTCTTGTGACTGAAGATAACAAAGGGGATAAAGATGACTTCAAAAGACATGTATCAGTTTTTGTGAAGATCCCAAGAGCCAGATTGAGCTCAAATGATAGAACTTCGAAAAGGTACAAGCTATGATGCTCCTTCACTCAAAATCCCAGAACACCAGATGGATGGGGTGTGTACCTGGAGTGGGTTCTCGGAGGTCTTTTACTCGCCCAAAGCCCACCCAGGGGCCAGGCTTGTCTTGCGAGTACTGAGTAGTACTCTTGAGGATTTTACTTTGAGTGGCCTGCAGGCCTCACACATCCATAAACAAACTGGCTAGTCTTGCACTTCCTGCAGGTTATATACTGTACTGCAGTTGTTTTTTGGACATATTTACTTTTGTTCCTGCAATATTTTTTATTGGGAAGATATTGAAGAGCCATGGACTTCTGATTGCACCTGTCACCTCTACTCTTCTTCGAGTCTATTCTGCATTTCCTACCATGTACTTCGCTCTAGTATGTTGTTATTTTGCTGTGCATATTGGAAACCTACCTTTCAATATATGTTTATATTCTTCCATGTACAGTATATATAATGTTATACCTTTTTTTTTCTAGAGAGTACATTTTGAATGCTTTGAGATGATCACAATAATTTGGGTGTTATCGTGTGTATGCAGGCTGTATATGTTCTCTGTGTTCCCTCTATTTCAGAAGTATCTCTTGCTTTGAAAGTGGAAGTGAGTACCTAGTAGTACTCAAGGTAGGAATGCATAAGTGCTTTGAATAGTAAGAGCATTGTGGTGGAATCCCTGGATTTGAAGGATCTTATAATGTACCCTATAACTTTTCTGGCTGACAATCTATTTGATATATTATGCTCATTAATTGCATTAATCATCAGGTCATCTGACATCATTATTTCGACATCCTTTATACTGCATGTCATTTTTCTACTGCGAGTTGATTTAATTGTACCTTGTATTTTTTTTTAAGTTCTTAATTTTTACCATAGCTAAGTAGAGTATCTGGAATTTATCACTCTTCAAAATCATGTTATTTTCTGCTGCTCAGGTGAAGACTGCCTTTATATTGCTATTTGTATCAATATGTATATTTGAAAATCATTTTGAGGCAATTGGGCGACTTGAACTGGCATCCCAGATGCCTTAACCCACTCGGCCATGATAAGACAAAAGCTAACCAACCCTGAACTCTATTGAATTCACCGAGAGGTTCTAGAGGCCCTGAACTGAAACCCAACCAGGATTTTTACAATCGGTCTGCCTACACTCTGGCCTGCGGGTAATGGTGTTCAGACCCTTACTCTCCTCCTTCAGATCTCTTAAGAAATCACAACCACGTAATAGGTCAGTACAAAAATTACTTTGAGGCAATTGGGTGACTAGAACCGGCATTCTGGCGATTTACAAACACTGACCTTAACCCACTCGACCACGATAAGACAAAACCCAACCCACCTGGAATTACGGAATTCATTGTAGGCGAATCTACTAAAAATTCTTGCTGGGCTCCAGTTCGGGACCTCCAGAACCTCCCATTGATTTCAGTAGAGTTTTGAGTTGGGCAGCTTTTGTCCTATTGTGGCCGAGTGGATTAAGGAAGGTGTCTGGAAATCACCAGAACAATGGTTCAAGTCACCCCATTGCCTCAAAATGATTTTCTCATTGATATATCATGCCAATGGGATTTCTTTGTGAATATGTATACTGTATTGTTGCTGATTTTATCATCTGTAAAGGATGACACAAAGCTGTGATACATTTGTCTCCATACAACCCACAAGTGCTTATGCTGTTTTGCATTTCTTTATAAATATGGAGTTCCAGGAGTTGGGACCTGGGACTAAGTGCATGGAAATGGTGTAAATTTATTTGTCAAAGTCTGCTGTACTCAACTAATATTGGTTATATTATTCAAATTTTTATACAGTATTCATAAAGCAGCTGTCTGGATCTTCAGTTTTCATGTTGTTTATTGGGGTGCAAAACACTTCTGAATGCACCCCAATAACATTGGCGGTGTCTCTTCCAAGCTGCACGCTTACAGCGGACAGCCCAAGCACAGTCCACCAGGGAACGCACTTCCGTGGTCCTCAAGAGGAAGAGCGAGGAATAGAGCTGAGGGCAGCGTCAAAGATGGCGTCATGAAAAAGGAGGAGGGCGCGAGGGAGAGGCAGAACGAAGAGGTCAGAGAGAGCAGCACGGCCTTGGCAAACTGCCACCTAGGGAAGGAGAGGAGAGGGTGATAAGAAAAAAGGTAACAAGGATGGGGGAAATAGTCACTGCCATAGAGTTCGTGAAAATGAAAAATGCAGGATACCTGCAGCAAGTCCCTGCCAACACAACCTTGTCCGGCAGGTCATAAATGCTGTAGTTGAGGAGAGCAGGCGACTGCTGAGCAGACCCTTGGGACACTAGAGGAAGGAAAGAACAGGTTTAATCTCAAAACAGAGGAACAGATATAAGCTTTCATTTGTGCATTAAGCGACCACTCACTACCGACCACGGGATGGGTATGGTGTGCATAATAAAGAAAAAAATGAACAGTGTACACTAGTGCCAATTAATCAAGTTATTGTCCAATATAATATGGGCATACCAGTGTTATCTTTGTGAATATGCAATTATCCTTCCTAAGTATTCTTGTGAAAATGTGGCGAGTTTAAGTTCGTTGTTACGGCAGGTGCTGTTCAGTGGTGGTTGTGGCCAGCTTGGGCCAGTTACCGGGTTCGTTCTGTTAATGTGTCTTATAACCTTTTCTTGATCCTACCCCACATCGATGGCAAGTTCTCAAGAACTGGCAATTACTACTACAAAGAATAAAAGGGGGAGATATATATAATATATATATGATTATATTATATCCAAGTATAACTACACATATTTACACCGTCACATTCACTCAGGACACAATAGATCGACAATGTTCATCAAATCCCGCCAAGTCCACCACGTCCAGGTTCACGTCGTCCACACTCAATGGTAATCACCGGCGAGTTCACCTTCCTCAACATGGGCCAGTCCACTTACCGTATCGTCACGATGTCTCAATACCCAACATCTGCTCTCCAGAAACACGCTGGCAGAGGGCTTCAGCAACACACTGACAGGGGTCTCAAATAATCACATACAGGGGTAGCTAACACCCTGGCAGAAGTCTCTAGCAACACACTAGCAACACTTCTCGACAGACGAACACAACTGTCGCCTGTAACTCTTCTTGTCCAAGTCCCGGGTATGTTGGTCCATACAACACTGCATAAATCCAGCAGCTAACACATTGCTACTACCGAAGGCGGTCACTTTGTCCTCTCACAGAACCAAGCCAAGAGTTCTGGACTGCCTCAAGGTGAACTGCCCTCCTCAGCGTAATCGCCTCCTCCCGTCACCTCTGTGAACAAAAACGTCATTAGCTAGACAGACAGTATACTGGGTGACCTTAGGATAACACCTCTTCCATCGGGGAAACTGAAACTGTAATATTGTATTCACAACCTAGATAGCGTTGATATCGTTACGCCACCCACCAGAGGTCATCATCATCGACCTCACCTCCTAACTGAGGCATGACAGGAGCCTTTCACCGACGCCACACCACCGCCAACAGATGGCGTTGTCTGCATCTCCTCTAATACTTGAAAGTTGGAGTGCAGGTCCATAGATGGCGCCGATATCGCCACTTCACACTCCAGCAACGGTGTTGATACCGTAACAGTGGTTGTTATGGCAGGTGTTGTTCTGTGGTTGTTATGACAGGTGCTGTTCTGTGGTTGTTATGGCAGGTGTTGTTCTGTGGTTGTTATGGCAGGTGCTGTTCTGTGGTTGTTATGGCAGGTGTTGTTCTGTGGTTGTTATGGCAGGTGTTGTTCTGTGGTTGTTATGGCAGGTGCTGTTCTGTGGTTGTTATGACAGGTGTTGTTCTGTGGTTGTTATGACAGGTGTTGTTCTGTGGTTGTTATGACAGGTGTTGTTCTGTGGTTGTTATGACAGGTGTTGTTCTGTGGTTGTTATGACAGGTGTTGTTCTGTGGTTGTTATGACAGGTGTTGTTCTGTGGTTGTTATGACAGGTGTTGTTCTGTGGTTGTTATGGCAGGTGCTGTTCTGTGGTTGTTATGACAGGTGTTGTTCTGTGGTTGTTATGACAGGTGTTGTTCTGTGGTTGTTATGGCAGGTGCTGTTCTGTGGTTGTTATGACAGGTGTTGTTCTGTGGTTGTTATGACAGGTGTTGTTCTGTGGTTGTTATGGCAGGTGCTGTTCTGTGGTTGTTATGACAGGTGTTGTTCTGTGGTTGTTATGGCAGGTGTTGTTCTGTGGTTGTTATGACAGGTGTTGTTCTGTGGTTGTTATGGCAGGTGCTGTTCT